TCTATTATGTAAGTGCGTGAGTGGCGGGTTATGCGGAGTACAGCCAGACAGGAGTTCACCCCGAGTTCACGCACTGCACGCAAAGGTCACGCAGAGGTCACGAGAGGAGCATCCGCACGAAGAACGCCGTGTTGGGGAGAGGTGTGTACTAATGAATCACAATTACATTTATTGAGTCATTTACTTTTTTCCTTTCTTGTACTACTAGACAGTTTATTATGGTCTATTCATTTCAAATATCATGTTTTATGAATGTATAGTCTATGGAACACAGATATTTACACAATCGTACTGTGTGATTGCATCAATATTAAAACATACAAGCGATGCAGTAAGCATAGTAGTTTTAGTAGACTATACTTTCACCAAATGGCCTACCTCCTCAAGTTATTTTAATATTTTGATTACACCTTTTTACTAGAGTGATAGGTCAGTGACAGTCCTCTCCTTAGAGACACTTTCTGCCTCACCTTTGGTAAATGGGTATTGCCCTGGGGTTTAGGTCACAGGGCAGCTCTAATAACTTGTAGAGGGTCTCACACTCTTCACCATATTTTACTACTATTCTATGAACCCAAAATGTAAAAGAAAACCTTATTTTCTCAGACCATAGCCCAGTGTGTAGACCCCACTGAATGTTACCTCTATAAATTAATTAAGAAAATATAAGAATGACCTAATGCAGTGCATTATTTGGGAGATTGTTTTTACTGTAACTCTAAAAGACCCAAACTCAAAGTTAATGTGGCTTATTCTTCTCATCCTGTTGATTGTGAGGAGTGTGAAACACATTGGCCTGAGGGTCGCAGTGGAGTTCAACAGCAGCGTCCCAAGCAGAGGGCGGTGCCCCCTGCTGGGACTTCACCATCTGAGCTCAGGTCAGGCCTCTCTGCTCTTTACCATTTGGCTGACTCAGAGTTGCCCTTCAATAAAAATGGACTCCAAGTGTTCTTCTCTCACCTCTGGATTATCTGCCCCTTCACCAGGGATGGTGTCGCTTTAGCCTAGAGCGGAACTCATTTGGAAAAATATTTCTTTGACATTTTCTGATAAGCAAATGGCAAGCAAAACATTGCAGAGATTCAATGTGAGAAGAATGAGTGAATATAATGTGAACTGTAAACTAATGCTAGAATCACCTACTTTAGGTTTGTACATGAGACAGGATATTTTGGCTGTTACAGACGAGACTATAACTGAAGCCTTCACTAATTGTAACCAAACTGCAATTTTGATTCCATAGCAATCAATCTTGCAGCCCTACATGACAGTGTGGGCTTTCATTCAACATAATAGACATAACTGAAATAACAAGAAATCTTTTGGCCCTGGATTACTGAATCCTTTTTTGATTGGCAGGGATAACATAAATGTGAGTTATGAAACTAATTATCAAATAAAGACTGAATAATATCTTTACATGGGGGTGGGGTGGGACTGGGGTGAGGCAGGGGTGAGGGTTTAAGTTAAGGGCAGATAGTCAGAGGAAGGTGTGTGTCCTCTGAACGACCCTGCTCTGTATGTATGCACATGCATGCACTCACAGATGGAACGCCCTCATTAGCCTGTACTGGGACTGCGCAATTAATTATTTTTTAATTATATCATTTGCAGATAACAGTGATGAGTTAAGAGGATTTTTAACCAACACGAATCCTGTACCAGAAAAAGTAAGTGATGTGGAGTTCAAATTTTGGAGGAATATTTTGTTGAATGAAAGTGTAATGTCTGTGGTCATTTACAGAAAGATCTTAATACACGTTTGTTTTTCTTGAGAGATGCAAATAGTTTTATAATGTGAGATTTTTGTGATTTTACTGTTTTGTATGAATCTCAGTGGGACCTCCTTGTTAAATACAGGTAAAACTAAATAAAATAAACTAATTGTAATGTTAAAAGCAACATTTATTTGTTTTTAAGTTTTTAGGGGGGAATTTCCATGTCACCCAGACCTAGTATATACAAGTTTACTTTATATTCAAGTTAGTGTTTTGAGTTCTTTTGCATGGAAAAGGCCTGTGGAATGATCTACAACACTATAAGCCTTCTGATTTAGAGACCACTTGACCTCACTGAATCATGTTTTATGTGATTCATAAAAACATGAAGTCAAGAAACCATTTTCTTGCTCTGTATTGTCTTGCTGTAGGTCTTAAATATCATGAAATCAAATGCGTAATCTAGATCATTAAGCAGCAAGACTAACCCACTATACTTTGACAGGCTTCTACTTTGATGATGTTTAAATCCAGGCTCAAAACTGTTCCATTTAGCTGTGCATACAACTGAAAGGTTTTTCTTCTGCACTCTTTTAATGTTAATTTTATGGTGTTTATTTATGTTTTGATTTGTTTGTGTTGTTATTTTAATGTCTTTCTTATTCTGTTAAACGCTTTGAATTACTTTGTGTACGAATTGTGCTATACAAATAAACTTGCCTTGCCTGGCCTAATGTAATGATGGCCCTCCAAAGGGTCCACACAACCCACCTCACACACCTCATTCTGGGGCAGAGTTGACTATTGCCCTTCCGCTCCATAGATTTCTTTGGAACATTGTAGCAGCAGGAGTCAGAGGGACAGGTGCAGTTGACAGGCTGTTTCCCGTGTCTGCTCTGCACAGAGGGCCAAAAGCACCTGTCAGTATGGCCTGGTGAATGGGTGTAGAGGTGATGATAGTGGTGTGGTGCTATCCTCTGTTTCCACTCCTACTCTCTAATGCAGACTGCAGTAATAGTGTTTAGTGGAGGAAATCAGGGCTGCCTCTGGAAACGGATGTTTATTACCTATAAATTAAAAGGAAGTGCTGTCTATCAATTATATTTCTTCTACAGTCAAAGTTATTGGATAGGCCTTTCCAAGGCAAGACAAAAACACTGGGTTATGTAATTCACCCTGGGCCTATGCTGCAGTCAGTGTCTCCTATTAATAGAGGAGACTGTGGTGTCACCCGTAGTCTAATTTTTATCCCCATAATCTAAAAAGAAGCTGAACAAAAATTGATGATGCAAATGATACTTTATGCTTCCAGTGTTGTCATTAACATAAAGAAGTAACTATTGAATTTGTAAACAGTGTTTATTTTTAATCAGTAGAGGCAGTAAGTGACATTCATATTAAATAAAAAAGATAAAAAAAAAAATAATAATAATAATAATAAAAGAGCGGAAGAAACCGACGAAGAACAACACCCCTCGCCCCTAACTTTGTTAGTGGGCGAGGGCCAATAATAAAAGAGCGGAAGAAACCGAGTGAAAACAATACCCCTCGCCCCTAACTTTGTTAGTGGGCGAGGGCCAAATATGGATCACTTGTGCCACTAGTCTCAGTATAAACCTGTGGAAAACTCTGCTGCAATAAACTTTTTTATTTTGTCCTTTTGAACAGAATTGAGGCAGCTCTGGGTTCTGTGGACATCTGAGTGATATTATCTTGTGGTGAGTTTTTTTTATTTTATTCATAATGCCACCTGTATTAAGAATCTGTGCCTAGTGACTCCTACAGCAGCAGTAAGGTAAGTGCATGAATAATGCATCTCATTCACTTGTTTGTAGGTTAGGCTGCTTCCCAAGTCCACAAGTTTACAGTAAGTGCATGAGGGTTGCCCAAGTTCCAAAGTTCAGGCCAACCTCTCTGGTAATACATTTCTGAGAAATGGGGGCATATTGTTGTTCTGTCCAGGGGCAAGACAATTGGGTGTGTAAGTGGGAATGTAAGGCCAGTGGCTTCTGAAGAGTGCTGTGCAAAGCTTTTCAGAGAAATAGACTAATAATGAGGATAACTTATTCCAGTTTTACATACCCCTAGTTGTTTATCCAATTTTCCTTAGCTTCCTCAGCTTTGGAGCCCCCTAGTGGCATAGACTTCATACTAGTGCAGAGTAAACGGAGCCCACAGGCTGTGCGTGTCAAAGTCATATCCACTTCAGACTTCTTCACTACAGATGTAATGGCTCTGATCATAACTCTGTTCAAGAAACATCAATATTTTGATGATAATAGAATTGTTTTTGACTTAAGTACTTTGGAGATGCCATGTTTTCTGCCTGTGTGCTATTAAACATGGTTGATTGAAGGTAGTAATAGTTGTGTAATAAGAACTGTAAAATGTGGAAATGTGTGATAATTTTGTTAAAGATGCATACATGACAAAACTGTAGCACCATCGTAGATCTCAGAGATTTACCAGATTTACAGAGCTGCAGACAATTCCTAGCATTGTAAAAAGCTCATATGCACAGGTGAACTTCCTTGTGTTGCTCAGGGCAACATAGATCCCAGTGTAACTGTGTGGCCTCCATAGCTTCAGTGCAAAGCCATAAGAATGATTTAGACTGCACCATGTTCCCGACTCACACTAACTGAAAGGCAGTGAACATGGAGCTCTTTAACAGTGTGCTGTAAATTGATGGAGAACAATGGACTGGAGGAGGAGAGGAGGCAAAGTTCAGAGAAGTTCACTCACATCACTGTAGAGCAGCAGCGACGTGGATAGGACAAGCGTGCATTAATGTGTCAGTTGCAATTTACTAGTACAATTTGGCATGAAGTTTGCCCTGGTCCTGATGACTTACAGTGCTCAGCATTTGCGGATCCAATATCACAAACACAATAAACAAAAGCCTGGACAAGTGCACAAAGCCCTGTGGCCTGCTGAAAGTAAAACCAAAACATCTAAACCACAAGAGTGCGACGCATCCACAGTGTGGAGGGGGACATGGTTTGTTCTGTCTCAGCCTGTATCAGAGTCAATGGTCTAAAATGATTGGTGTGAACTCAGTTTCACCCCGACTGCACTCATCTGCCACAGTCATCAGCTCCATGCATTCCACATTTTGTCTTGCTTCCACTCTGTGTGTAACTAAATACCTGCAGGAGGCAGGCAGGGGACACTGACGTCACAATGAGATGGGTGCCCACACACATGCTTCTGTGCTTTTGATTTGTACCATTATAATATTTGTGCTAGAGGTTGGATAGAATATAAACAAAACCATCTGAATTTATTTTGCAAAAGGTATTTTATTAAATAAAATCTCATACATTTTAGTAGTCACTTAAATAAGTGGAAAATATAAAAGTAATCTACATATATACACAGGTTTATAATACATGCTCATGGACTCAGGTGGCCCATGTGCAAGTGCCTCTGGTTTTATAAACAATATATTTACAAAAATCAACAGCGCTTTAGTTGTAACTCATGAACTTGGTGGGCAGATTGTCCACAGGGTACACTGTGGGCCCAGTCTTCATGGTGGGGGGCCCGTTCAGGAGAGTCCAGTGGGACTTGGACACCAGCTCCACAAGAAAGATCTTCAGCAGGACTTTGGCAAACTCTTTTCCCACACACCTCCTGCTGCCCCCACCAAAGGGAATATACTGGAAGCGAGCTGAGTCAGAGCAGGGCTTGGACAGGAAGCGCTCTGGCTGGAACTCCTCTTTGTGAGGAAAGATTTCAGCTACATCATGTGTGTCGCAGATGCTGTAGATGACATTCCAGCCTTTGGGGATCTGGTAACCCTAAAATGCAAATATATTGGTCAACACAAGTTCAGTCACATCAATAAACACCAGAGCCTGGAGAGTGAAGAAACAAACATACGTTGAGTTCAAACGTCTTGAGGGCGACTCTGAAACCACCGGGGACAGGAGGGTTGAGCCGCAGTGTCTCCTTGATCACACAGCTGGTGTATTTGAGCTGTTCCAGCCACTCCATGGTCAGGTTCTGAGGGTCCATGCCCTGTTCCTCCTGCAGAGAAACAGACAGATCATGTGGTGTGAATGTGATGGCTCATCTAGATTATATCAAATACAAAACTACACAGAAATATATTGCATGGCATTTTAAAGGAAATACAGAAATATACAGTGACTAACCTTCTCCAAGAGCTCTAGGCGGAGACGGTTGACAGCATCAGGGTTGAGGCCCAGGAACATGACCAGAGAGGTGGCTGTGCTGGCTGTGGTCTCATGGCCCCCAAACAACAGCTCTGTGGCGGACTCTTTAATAGCCTGCAAAAGAGATACCATGAAGATCATGCACTACTATGTGTGAGCAAAATATACACATCTGCCATCAGTGTGCCCAAACATTATGGCCAACATTAAGGCTGAAGAGTTTAGTGTGGGGTACCTGCATGCTGAGGGGCTCTCCATTCTTGCAGCTGCTGTCAATGAGCTGCTGCAGAGCGTCCCGGGGCCGAGAGCCCTTCTCACAGTCCTGTAGCTTCTTTTTGATGTTTTCCTCAATTTTGGAGTGGATGAAGTTCCTAGCTTTCAGCCCCTGTGATAGAGCAGGTCAGTATAGAACAGGCACACACTGGTACGAGAGTATGGAGAGGTGGGTGATCTTACCCGGTACAGGCCACTGAAGGGTACATCTATGGGCAGAGAGAATAGGTTTCGGATCATCTCCTCAAAGGCCTCCACCAGCTGCTGCTCCTGTGTTTTGATCTGCCCTGCCTCGAAGCCGAGAAGGACTCTCATGGCAATACGGAACATAAGGCGCTTCACATCAGGGTAGACCAGCACACAGGCATCCCTGGACAGCCAGTCCTGCACTGCAGCTCGCACCTCCTCCTGGATTACAGGGACGTAGAGCTCCAGAGCCTCCCTAGAGAAAGCCCGCATGATGGCCTGTAAGGGCCAGAGTGGTCAGTAGGCAACAACATAACTGGAAAAATATGAGCCTGGGAATGACTACTGTCAAGCATTCCAAAGATGCCACTCAAGAGAAGAGCACCTTACCTTCTTCTTAGACTTGTGCTGTGATCCATGTACACTAGACAGAGTGTCTGAGCCCAGGATGGTGCGCACAGAGGCGGGCCACTGAACGGAGACGAGCCGGTGCTCCCCTGTCAGAATTTGTTTGACGTTGTCTGCTCCCATCACGCGCACGGTAGGATTCCCGAACAGATGCGTGCGGTAGATGTATCCGTACTTCTGGCGCTTCATGCGTAAAAACTTTCTCCTCTGCACAAAAAGAATCGAATATGAGTTACACTTGCTTAATAAACAAACCAAAGAACGCCACGTGTTGTGCTTACCTGGAGGATGAGCTGCAGCGTCTCCCCGAGGAAAGGCAGGCCCATGGAGCCTGGGGGCAACGGCCGGGGGCAGCCGGGGTCCCGGCCTCTCAGGAGGTAAACCTCCCATAGCTTAAGTGCCACTAGGAAGAGCAGAACGGGAAGGACTATCGTGCACAGGAAGGTGGCCAGCAGCGTGTTCAGAGCCATGGCGCAGTGAGGAGTTCTCAGAGAGTGTGACAGCCGCGCTGCCGTGAGGCCTCTTATAGGCTCCTCGCTCTCCTCCCTCACATAAATTAGTTCACACAAAGTTCATCTTTAATTGTGGCTGTCAATGCCCCGCCTACGACCTGTGCTGCTGGCTCGCTCCACCATTTGTTCAGTCCCAGCTTTAATCCTTACCTCCTGTAGCAGGGGCATTTCACTGAGAAAAGGTGCTGCTTTCAGTAAGACAATGAGTGAGTGCCAAGACGTCTTTGTTTTCCGAGAGGCCACTCGTTTAGGTCTCCGTAGCGCTAATCTGCCTGCAGGGTGGACCACATTCAAACCAGAGCCAACTCTCCACAGTTCCATAGCGCATTAATCCGCCTCCCGTGAACCCGGCTGCTGTCATTCAAAGTGCAGCCCTATGGAGGCTGCAGCGCAGCGCTCCGCTGTACTCCGTGAGCCTGCTTCTTTAGCGTAGACTGCAGTTTCCAACTCTTGAGAATCCAGCAATAAATCTAAAGTCATGTTATAAAGTCATATCAGCACCGGGTTCAAACCTGGGTCAGTGAGCTCGCACGCGCACAGACGCGCGAGGTTATCCTCGGGCTACGCACAGAATAAACAGAGGCACATCAGCGTAAAGTGTTTTTACGACCTGAGTGAGCGTGCGCGTGCATGTTACAGAGACAACCTGGTGCCGTGTTCAGCGTTTACGGGCTCACCTCAGTTCACTAGGACACGGCACATTAAGAGCACACCCCTCATGACCCTCCAAGTGTGCCTCAGAAGATCTCCGGGGGTTGCGCGTGGTGAAACGCCTACATTTCACCATGTCCCGGTAGACTAAAGGCAAAACCTTTAGGAGTTATCATATGTTCGTATTTCGTTATCTTTACAGCTGTCTGAAGGTGCCAAAAACAATTACGCACCTGGATTAAATAAAGGGAATCGTGTCATCTGTTTTGATTGAAATTGTGTACCGTACATAGACGGGCTGAGCTGTATATTTAAATGCTGTGTGGAGGACCTTCAAGCCCTGTGATGAGGGGTGAAAAGGTAACGCAAGTGTGGGGAAACTTGCGGAAATTATCCGGTAAAATGAATGAGCTAGGCGTTCAAAGTGTTCTGCAATTCCGTTCGTGCGTGAGCGTGTGTTCATGTGTCCCCACAGCTCCTCCCCCGCTCGCGCTCCCTGACCCGCTTGTGACCCTGACATCTCTGTGAACTCTGCGCACCAAGTTCACTGTCCGCCCAGCGCACGCGCTCACGCACGCGCAGGGGGCACTCTCTAACACCAGTAGCGCTGCTCCGCCTCAGGCAGTCACTGAACTAATATCTGTAAACTCTAGGACTAATACAGCCGTTAAGGTGCCGCTTTGGAGCAATAGGGGTAAAGACCAAAGCAGGTTTGAACACAAGAGTCATCACATCAGTCCACTGGTGTAAGCAAGGGGGGAAAACATTAGACTAGAACCAAATCTGAAGCCATTATATTGACACAAGATGTTTTACTAACATGTATGTTCTGTGCAGCAAGCCTTAACCTAGACATAACCCTGACCATATGAACATACAGGAACTATTTGTGGAGCGTGCAGTGGTGGGAGATAATCCCAGTTCTGATCAAAGAGCAGTTATCTGTGAGGGGCAGTTGGAACACAGCGGTTGTGAGGTGTGGAGGTGAGGGGTCACTGCAGAGTCAGGCCAGTTCAGCCTCAGGTCAGGGGCTCCACACAGGTCAGCGCCTGCTGTCAGAGCACCTCACCGTCACACCACTCGTTGTACACAATGCAAGCAGCAGCAAACACATCATCCAGGAGAGGACTAAGGCTTTTCAAGATTTTCACCAGTTACCAAACTAGGACCACATCTGTGTACACATTACATTTTTAACAGATAACAAACTGCATATTGCTTACTCCTTGAAGAAACCAACTGCACTACAGTAAGTAAATAAGCATGTAGTTATCAACAAGACAGTGGTATTTGTGACCCTTGCCCTCTATAGTTATGACCCAGATGTGAGCGAGTTACTGAAGTTCTGGAGTGCCTTCAGGATGTGGTGTGAATGAGACGGGCGTCCTGTCTCCGCTGTATTGTTGCAGGGGGTGTTAAAGCGTTTGATCCCAGCACTAAAATACTTGTCACATCTATTGACAGTCAGGAAGAGTCCCTCCCCCCAGAGTGACACAGGAACGCTGAGCCCAAACCACACGCTCATAAACATGCTCGTTTGGCCCAGCACTTAGCCTTTGTAGAACATAAGGGGTCATAAAATATTCTAATGCAGGCAATGTACCACCAGCCTCCAGTTTTGAAATGAATAAGACCAGAAATGATATGTCATGATGTATCACAGCTTTAAAGCATTCACTCTTCCTCTTGGCCATACAGAGCTGGGGTCAGGAGCAGAGCATGAGTGTGGGGGACCAAGTGGTGTGGTCAGCAGCACATTATAAAGCGGCCTGGATTTGTGGACTTTCCTGGTGTTAGTCACATTCAACATACAAAACAATACAAAAGCTGTGCTCTTTATTGGCATTGTAAGTCTGCTTCTGACAGGAGTTGGTTGTACACGGGTGAGAGGAGCTCATGTATAGGAATGATGCAGGAACTGCCAGATCATTTTTGTATTTTATAAAATATGCATTATTTACATGCAATTTACAGGGAATATTAACAATGCTAAAATAAATCCAACTGAAACAAAATTCTCAGTGCAATTTTTTCCAAAAATGAAAACAGTCTTAACTAGTGTGGGTTTTGATTTAGAACAGCCAATAGGATACAGGCATTATTGCTGTGCTCTGTGGATTTATGGATTCAAGACTAAAGCTTCAGTTCACCCTGAGAAACAAAACAAAAACAAAAAACAAAAAAAACAGAAATAAAAATAATTTGATAAACATTTAAATATATACTATATATATAGCTATATTTGGGATGTTCTCTGAACATCAAGCTTCTGCTTTAAAACAGGTGTTTAATAACTGGTGACACTGTCCCAGTCATTCCCCTTCTAAGTAATAGCTGATACACTGATGATAGGCTTACACGTTACTGAGAGGGACCAATGATGTTGTGACATGCTCAGTCTGACTGTATGTGCACAGCCCAAATGGAGCTTTTTCATACACTTAACATTCACCATCTACTATATGAATGCCCATGAGATAAAGCAAAAAATATAGAATAAAATCCTGCTGTGAACATCAGTCTTGACAAACGTCATAGTTCACTCATAATTCCACTTACAGTAATCTGTACTGGGATGGCTCATACTCTACTCAACCTTTGCACCAGAGACAGAAACAAACAATATAAAATTAAATATATAAACATAAGTGGGATAAACAAAGGCATATGTCTCATGTTGGATACCTTCCCTTGTAGAGTTGTAGGCCTGAATCCACTCATCTCCATGGAGAACACATTTTAAAGTATATCTGAGTCAGGACAGTTCTTGTGGTTGTCTTTCTGATTCACGACACAACAAGCAGAATGGTCACACATATTTTACATTTGTCAGTATTATCTGTTAAAGCACAGGGCTAGTGTTTGTTGAGCATAGATGGGCCTGTGCCAGGGGCTTCTGAGCATTTGTGCAAGTCCCAGTTTAGTGTGTAGTCCGAGGTGAAGTCTTCCTCGTAAACAGTTTTACGTGTGAGGTAAAAGCAGGCTCAGATGTACAACGCAGACAGTTCCCAGATCCAGATGACATGTCTGAACAGCTGTTTGAATTTACCATTTCAGTCATTTACCGATAGTGATATTATTATTAATGCACACCAAGCACTGTCATAAATAATGCTCAATTTTGGGCAATTATCAAGGCTTTACTTAACAAGTGGACAAATGCAGAGTCCATTCTCTTTTAGTTTGAGTTTGTGCTATTGCACACTTCAAATGTACATACTTTATAAGTAGTTCTGAAATTCTGACAAGTATTTCTGCAATGTTTTTCAATTATGGCATGATATATTGCTAATCTGGGACCTTACCTCACCCTACTCTCAGACAGTTTAATAGTGAAAAGAGAGTGTGGGTCAGTTGGCTGTTTGTGGAGGTTCAGGATGACATGCCGTTGACCAGGCTGCGCAGCTGCTTCACCACAGTTTCTATTAGCTTCTGCTTGTCCCGATCATTCTTCCTGAACTGAGAGAAGATGTTGTTCTTCTTACTGGTGTCCTTCATCCTGCAGCAAAAAGAAATCATAAGGAAATGAATGTAGAATAATGTTATATCCAGATTTCTTGCAGAAAAAGAGCCTCCTCAACCCATATAAAATTATAACTAAGTAGGAACTGACAATTCTCTTAAAGTATTGTTGTGTGCATATCCAGATATTCAGAAAGCCTGTTCAAATCAGTAAATGATTTCACTGATAACAATAGTTGTGTGGATGTTTTTACATTCTAAAAAAACATGTTTATTATGTTCATAATGTAAACATTGTTAAGTTTTTTCTGATCAGAAACCCAAATGCAGCCCACAATTTCGGTTAAATGTGTCATCCTAGGATATGGTGTGATGGAGGGTTTTAAACCTGTAGTTGCAGGCTCTAGCTAGTATCTTATTTTAAATTTAATGTCAAAATGGCTAAATATGTTTAATTGACTGACTGACTGAATCTTCCCCACACATGCAAAGAGAACATGCAGTGTTTTCATCATAGTCTCTGGCAGACTGACCAGGATTCATAGAACCAGAGTTACGTTTGTAACTTTCACTTCTTAACTTCACACTCCCTGTAGTAGTTTTGTTTTTAAGTGCATTGAGTCATACATACCCTCTGTGAACCCTTCAGCAGCGGCAGGGAGGACAAAAAACAGATTTTAGATCTCAACAAACAAATAACTAACTCCTAGACTTCTTTTGAATTACATTGAGATGAGGGTTGCTAACTACTGTTAATATTCCTCTAATATTCAATACAAGGGGATGTATGTAGAGCTGTACTCACTTCTCCAGCAAGGCCAGGGCAGTGGCTGGGTTAACACGCAGGTATTTGGAGTTGGGCTGTCCATAGTCTGCCAGATACGTCGACCAGTCCCACACCATGAACAGGTCCAGGAGCTGAGCACACACAATCACATAGGCACCAGGTCAATAAGACGTGGGAACTATCAGTGCAAAGCAATAATGGACATTACAAAAGAGGTGTGAACAATTCAATTGTACTTTACAATTAGAATTGTGAACTAGAGTTGACCAATGCATCGGACAGATATTTGCACAGGGCTAATATTTTGTTCAGGCTGCATAAATAATACACAACAATACTTTAATACAAAGTGGACACTGCACAATATGTGACTATACTGTTCTGTTCTAGTTCGTAGTAAACCGGGGTTGTGGATGACTTTGTAAAAGGTTCAGAACTTATTGGCCATGAGTTTCTCTGGATATTAAGCAATCATATTGGAATCAGCAATGAAAAAAGTATTTTTTACAAGACAAGTGAGTCACTATTTTTAGGACTTAAGACTTGATTTGATCAAATGGACTAAAACTTGGGACTTGACTTGGACTTGAAGGCCAATGACTTGGACTTGAGTCCTTTGACTTGATGCTTCTCAAAAAATTTGTTTTTAGAAAATATTTTTCGCTTTACAGTCGACACATACGGTTCTTAATTTTACAGGAATAAACTGGAACATGTCCCTCTCACGTCTCTATTTGTTATTGATATAACAGTAACTCAAGTACTGCGATATTGTATCAACAACTGTCTGTATTGTACTGTATATTACTTTAAAACAGATGGAACTACATAGAACATGATCCTTCCATTTCAGACTACATGACAAATAAGTTTTTTTTCCCACACTTTAAAATCTTTATTCTTTCTTCTAGGAAAATAACTGATTGATTTCCATATGTTATAAAAAGCAAATGCGCAAAGATAATCTAAATCAAACAACAGTTCAAATAAACAAGACATCTTGTTCCAGTATTAGTCTTTTTCATTTTTATAAGATTCAATTGTAGTATAACCTTGAAATGTATAATGTATGTATTCAAAAGAAAATGTCACAAAGTCAGTGTAAGGGTCTTGGTTCATTGCCACTTGGCTGTATTTTTGGAGGGAGACAATTTGACTTCAAATGTTCTGTTAATTTAAATAAATAAGATGTATTATAATGGGAGTAGTTGCAGTAGGCTGTGAGAGCGTTGCAGCGTGACGGTGTGGGGAGTGGCAGGGTCCCTGACAGCCAACAGCTTGAGTTCAGTGTTAGCGAGCGGTCAGCAGCCGCCTCATCACTCTCTCTCCAAGCACTCTTGTTTATGCGGGTCGCCACAGAAACAAGTTTGGTGGGACAAGGAGGAGGGAGCTCTGCTAAATGATGACCATTAAGAGTGTGGGGATCCCCCGGTCCACGACCCCTCAGTAACCTAATGGAGATGCCACCCCCCCACAGACAGTATATGCTAATGGGAGGGAGAAACAGCTGGGTGTGAGGTTGAAAGAGCAGTTTACTGATAATAGCATTATTCATCTGCTCGACGCTCAGAAAGAGGCAGAAACAAAGGCATTCTTCTCACCTGGAGTTTTACCTCAGACTATCAACCTCCACAGAGCCCTCACAACACTCACATCAACATGACTGCAAATGTCACTACTTAAATCCCTTTGTACTACTGAGAGACAATTATCTAAAGACAAATCCACATTAGTAGATGCTTGTTATGTTTAAATGTTTTCAGTAGATCTTTTTTTTTTTTTGAATCTCATGTCTCAGTGTGAAACTATTATTTTTGTTGTACTGTTATCATTTATCGTACAAACATAGGTTTATGGTATCAGTGCCAGTATAAATGCCATATTGTGCTATGTGTATTTCCATATATTTTACACCCTTTTTTTATATTAATATTTTCTGCAACAATATGTATTGCACTTCCACATTTCTTATTGCATCAGGCCTATAGTAGGGGAGTGCAGTTTTAGCTGTGAACATTGCATGGCCTCAGTATAACCTCTGCCTTCTTGATGCCTGTGCATACACCCCGGGCTGGGATTAACACGGACGCCCTGAGCCACTGTTCGGAAGAAACATATGAAGAGATCCACAGTGTTGTGTTATAATTATGCCCCAGAGGACTGACACCAGTGCGGCCTTGTGCTGGATGTGTGAAAGCTAATGCAGGTGAAGAGTTGAAAAGGTTAGATGATAGATCTGAGCATTACCTACTTGAGAAGCAGTGTGTTTTTTGCTGGTATGTTAAGTGTGGCTACCCTGTGTTGCCCGGTTAATCTGAGCCTGAAGTAGAGAACTTCTTACTTGTGGGGTTAAATTCTTTCTACCCCTATACAGAATATTCAGTCATTTGTTGAAATGCCATCAGATTCCCATTATAATACAAACAATTTTAACAGAGAAGCACAGGAGAGATGGAAACAGATTAAGCCGTCAAAACTCAACAAATTCTCTCCTCTTTGTTTTAGGTAATGAGAATTCCCCATAAAATATTTAAAAGGTACACTTTGTAACGTTTTTGTTGAGGTGGTCTGCTAAGAGCTTGTCTCCATGGAGATGCTATTGCTTTGCCTAAAAAGATACACAGAATAACATAAAACCTAAAATCTATTGAATACATACATGCGTTTTTATTGCTAAAATACTTTGAAAAACATGCTACATTCTAACTATGAGCAGGGTTTGCCTCTGAACTTCTTATATTTGACCTGCTTGTCTCTGCAGAGACAGATAATGCCATACTGTTGAACATTTCAGATAAGGCAATGTCATAACAAGTGTGTCCAGCAGAAAAGTGCACCTTGAAGGAAATTGTGTACTGATTGTGTACTGAATGGCCCTTTACTTTTGCTCATTTGTAATAGGGGTTGCAAAGATAAAGCACATTGATTGACTTTACCTGTCTCAAGTCGATGAAAGCCAGCTGCAGAGTGTCTCCTTGAAATCCAGGAACAGGCTCAGAGCTTGCAAACACTGAGAAGTCACAATCAAATCGGAAAGGTTAGTGCTAGTGCAATTATCTGATGTAATAATGTTAATTTAAAGGGCACAGGTTTTGATTACACTTACATTCACATTGGATGACATCCAGATTGAACTGCTGAATGGCCCCCATGCTGACCTGCTTGAGCTCTGAGTCCAGGAGCATTTGCATGAGGGAGGTGGAGAGGTGCTTACAGGCTGACATGCAGGCTGTCTGAGCCACCTTACCCTGTGCAGAGGGGCAGATGGGAGTAACAATGTCAGAAACACACAAATTAACACTAACGAGAGGCATGCACATGGGTGTTGAGTGAACAGTTTAAAAGGAGGATCAATATGGCAATTAAGTGTATCTGCAAGTATCTTACCCACGAGTGTTAGAATTTAACTATTTATTTTGAACAACCCTGCCTTGCAACATGCACAAACAAATAATGTGTAGACAAAACTGTCAGACAGCAGTCCAGTTTAATAAATCCTCTTCCACTTGCTCAGCAGTCAATCCAATGGAATAGTGAATAAATGAAAGTGGTTCACTCTTTTGTATCCACATGCATCAACTCAAATACAGGGATAGTGTGGTGGCTCTTGAAAATGTAATAATGAATTATGAGATTAGAATGGCACAGTGGTTTGTACAGAGCCCCATACCATTCCTGTGGACTAATATATTCATGCTGAAGAAAACTGGCAAACACAGTGGAGATACATGTGTAGCATCAGTGGCTAAGAATTACTCAGAGGCTGCAGACAGTGATCACTTTCTGCAGCCTCAATCACACTGACCCTGATTTAAGCCAGGTAAGGGGCCAACAGGAGTATGTTTTGACATTGCATACAGCAAATGCTGGAAATTTGTGAGTTTTATGACAGTGAGCATCATGAACACATTTGTGCTTAGAACTTTTTGTACCAGCCAGTGATACATGAAGAAAATGCATGCTTCAATCAATTCACTTAGTCACAAATATATATTTTTAAAGTAATGATGATGCTTATGTTGATCTGGGCCTGCATTGTTATGGGTAGGTCTCACTGTCCCAAGTTTCATGATAAATGAGGGCCAACTACATCAAAACCAGTTAACACCATCAGAAACTTTACAGCAGTTGTAACACCATCACAGATACACTGTAATTAAACAGACCAGTCAATGGGTTAAAAATTTTGCCCAAAAGCTACAGTCTCGAAGTACACCTAAAAACCTGAATCTACAATTCATTATAGGTTCCATTTTTATTGTCACACTGCACAATGGCATTTTGAAATTTTAACCAAATATTACCCACATACAACAAAAATAAAAAGCTGTGTGCTTAATCCCAATCCCAATTATATTATATTACAAGAACTGAAGGCTAAACTTCTAATTTATCACAATTTACTTTGATGAATAAACATATGTCACTTGTTTATTTTTATGTCCATGCTGCTGCTGCAAAAAGCACACAAGCAAACTAGATACATTAGTGTCCTTAGAATTTGTTTTGAAACCACACAATGGGTTTAACCTTGACATTCCTTCATTCTGAGCTCAGGGTTTTAAGTGAGGAGGATGACCAACTTGTCATTTCCAGACAAATATGTTTTGATATAAGGGCACCTGCTCTACATGAAAAAGCACTATTCCTTCAGCAATGGACTTCAGGTTAGAAAATTGCACACACTAAATAAAATACTCATTTGCATCACCACCAATACGAGCACCGTCTGCAAGATACGACCCATACTCTTTATGCCACAGTTACAGAAGTAAGCATGCTCTCCTCTGTCCTCTGGTACTCACCGACATGGATGCATGGTCATTGTTGTTATTCTGAGCACAAGCCCAAATCAACAAAACATGGAAAAGAGGAAGGGAAAGAGGGAGAGGAAAAGAAAGGTGGTAACCATAAATGGATAGAAGGCATTCAGTTCATCAATAAAACCTTTGCATGCAAGACAGAGTTCACATGAAAGGGCAGGAGTAAAGGCAAGAGTAAATTTGTAAAGGAAAAAAATATATATATTAATTTGCAAAAATGGGTGAGCATGCAAAGTTCCTAAAAAGTAAAAAGTAACCAAAACCATTTAAGGAAGAAGCCATTGCCAACAGTGTGACCCAAAAGAGCACTCCACACACAAGCTCCTCATCCTGAATTACTTTCCAGTATTTTAATATACACAAAAAAAAGCTAAAAATCTGACCATCAGTTTAAAAACTGAATTCTGTAGTTTTGTGCAGGCTCAAACCAGGCTCCTGTTTCAAGTACTTCCATCAACCCAGCATTACACAAGCAATACATACATAAAGCCTGGAGGTAAAACCTTTTCTATAACAACTATGGCAAACTAAACGGAAAGATACTTCCAGTGGACTACTTCTTCTAATTCATCACAAAAAACATCTGTTTGATTAATACATAATGCAATAAAAATAAGACAGGATATGATTCAATTTTCAGATGAATGCATTATTGCAGAGCCTCAGTGAAAAGGCTTCTCTGAGTGACATACCGGCAGGTGAGTGAAAACTTGGAAGGTGGAGCGCAGGAAATTGATGAGGTCCATGAGGTATCCAGATGCCCGGCCATCAGACTCAGCCATGCCCCAGTCGTAGTCTGCTAGCTGAATAAACTCATCAATCTTTTGGTTCAGTTTAGTGTAGATCTCTCCCTCAGCTGCATGACGGGCATCCTTGTGAAGACACATTAGGTAAAAGAGTATAAAGAGAGTCCATTGTGTTAACTTTTCAGAGCCAGGTACCATGTCATGAGCAAGTGTGCATCATTCTCACGCAGATTTCTCAAAAGTTGTGTTTTTGTTCCATTTCGCATATATAATAACTTCAGTGTATTTTAGCTCCCAAGAGCAGAGAATTAACATTATAAAAATGTCTATTCTACTAACACAGAACATGAATGTGAAACAGATTCCCCTGGACAGTACCTTGAAAGTGGAAAGGCCGTAGAGACGTGTGGTGTGGACCGTCTCTGGGGACACATTGGTGATGTTGGTGATGAACTCTTCTAAATACCTGCAGGCCTGCTCCAGGTGAGTGCTGTTAATGATGATCTGCACCAGCTGCACACAGTTCAAACATGAGCTTCAGAAAATGACTGGTCTCTCTGTGCACCAGCTTCAGTGGGACCTACCTCAGTCAGGCCGATGTGGGGCTTCTTAATGAGGTTCTGTAGACAGCTGCTCAGAATTCTAGTCAATAGTAGGTTTGTGGACTTCCTCAACATATCATCAATTTCAGTTGAGCTGAAACAAGAGAGAACAATGGTATTCACCTCCCATGAAAGTAGTAGTTTGTTCAAAAGGTGTGGATGATGTTACCTTCGGTGGAGTGACTCTGAAAATTTAAGGCTCGCATAGATGAACTCTTTAACCTGGGAGTAGATCTGAGGCACCGACTGGGACATCGGGAGCTTCTTTGGAAAGTCCTGCTGCTTTTGCATGCAATATTTAAAAAAAATTGTGAAGATGTATTTACTATGAGAACTAATCATAAAACATAATAATTCATATGAAACTAACTAGGTTAACAGGGCATGACAGTGGTCAGAGTCTGATAGGGGGATGTAGTTCTGAACTTGTTACCTTCTCCAGCTCAGGGTCATGGAAGGGGAAGCGGCTGATGACAGACTTGTATTCTTCCTCTGTCTCGACTGGGATAGGGCTGTAATTATCCAGCTCAAAGATTTCTCTGCATAAGAACAAGAAATAAACAATTAAGTAAAACCATGGACATCCATCAAAAACACAGCAATATTTCCATGGCAACAATCAAAAGAGAAAGTCCCACCGGAAGACCAGAGCCCATTTCTTCAACAAAGTCTCATTGTACTGATCTCGGACCTCAAACAGAAGGTCGAATAGGCGAGTGACTGGAAACCCATAACCCTGTGCACAACATACACAATGTTTAGAGCTCATCACCTCGAGACAAGTTGGAACAAAAGACCAAACTGACCTGGAGTGTGTCCGCAAAGATCACAATGAGGTTCTTCAGCTCTAAAACCAGGTCTGGGTCATCACAGTAAGACTTAAAAATAACAGAAAATATAGCAGTTTTACGACTGTACTTACAGTGGCTTTGTGTTTTGGCAAATGTCAGATCTAAAGAAGATAATGAACATCTAATGTGTTTAAGTAAATGAAAAACATTATTTGTACTTTCAAATGAAGAGAGACAGCACTGTGGTCTGTGGTAAACAGTAGTGCAGTAGGAGGCCTGACCTTTCCATTGACAGTAGCGGTCATAAAGTCGTAGTGACTCCAGGAGTGGACAGTCTCATCACTCACTCTGTATTTACAGTGATTTATAACCCCCTACACGTCACTACACACAGACACGCAATTCATCGAAGATTATGTGACCACAGCAGACACCACACACATTAGATGATAGCATTAAAAGAGCATGAACAGCGGATGAGGTAAAGTGAGGAATGAGTGTGATGGTGGGCTGCTGAAGGCCAGGGGGCATGGGACCCCCAACCGTGAGCCTATTCTTCACACTGTTAGCATAATCCTCTGCTCATTTACAACTGAGTAGACCCCAGCCGTCAGGAATATGGCTCCTTAATCTTCCGTTATTGTTACAATCTGTCTCTCATTAAGTCTCAATCACCTCCCTTTGGCCCATTTTCACAACAGAAACATCATTAGTTTATCAGTGCAGGGACCTGCATAATGCATCACCAGATTACTAGGGAAATCCACAGTCATTTACAAGTCTCTGTGCGTTAGTGTGTGTGCATTAGTGTAAATCCTTACAGAGTGTGTGCGCAGCACAGCGATGATTTTGGCGAGAGCCATGTTCCACAGCTCATCAGTGAAAGCCTTGGTCACCAGGCCTCGTGTTGCATTCAGGATATGGTCCTCGACCACAAAAAATCTGCAGAAGGAACAGGTTTCTAAAGTAAACAATACACACATGCATGCTTCTAAATAAAACTCTAAACGTACCCAACAATCTGATTGAAGTATCTTCTGTAGCCTTCTACTGTTTCATGCTGACCACAGAGAAAGAGCAGGTTGAAATATGACCAAATGTAGCTTTAATATTTGGAAAATGACACAGTCTGTGACATTATTACCATATTGGCCTGTGGCTGCAGGACAAGCCTTGCTTGTTTCTTCCTCTGTTTTCTGTAGTAGTTTTCAAATGTTTCCCTGTCACCCTAGAAACACCCCAAAAAAGCTTTTAAGAGTCTGCAATGAAGGCAATGCAACCTTTACCGTTCCGTAAACATCATAATAATTATATTAAGTAAATATAGTAGTGGCTGCTTATCCATTAAATCCAAAAAACATAGTCCGGTTGATAATTGGATTCACTCACCAGCACAGTGTATATGTGGAGACACCTGTAGACAGGAGAGAAGTCAACCAGCTCCTGAGCCGTCAGGATCTAGACATTCAAAACACATAAAACATCACACTTACTGAAGAATCACAACCTTTACAACAGCAACTCTAAAGTCGAAGAACAATTGAGCTCATTTAGTTTAAATTTTTGTTTTTATTTCATGCCTCTTGTTCGACATTTAGAGCTGTACCTTGCCCCGGGTTTTAGTGTGAGCACAGGCGTGGGTCATGGAGCTCTAAACAAGACGTGTGCTGTGCCTAAATATCAGGTGAAGTGGAGCAGACCGAGGGCGTGGTGTGGCACATTCAGAGAACTGTCAGAGTCATAGAAATAAATATCAAACTAGTCCCCTGAAAATATTACGTGTAAAATATTCAAGGCATGGCCATGGCTCTCGATTGGAAAAAGGTGGCTTCACCTCTCCAGGTGAGTGGAGAGTCCCTGCTTCAAGTGGAGGAGTTTAAGTATCTAGGGGTCTTGCTCACGAGTGAGGGAAAGATGGAGCGGGGGATTGACAGGAGCATCGGTGCAGCATCAGCAGTGATGCGGTCACTGTATTGGACCATTGTGGTGAAGAAGGAGTTGAGCCGAAAGGTAAACTCTCAATTTACCAGTCAATCTATGTTCCTAACCTCACCTATGGTCATGAGCTTCGGATAATGACCGAAAGAATAAGATTGCAGATATAAGCGATTGAAATGAGTTTCCTCCATAGAGAGACTTTGTGCTCCCTTAGAGAGAGGAATTCAGTCACACAGGAGGAGCTCGTAGTAGAGCCGCTGCTCCTCCATGTCAAAGGAGCCAGCTGAGGTGGCTCTGGCATCTGTTCCAGATGCTTCCTGGACGCTTCCCTGGGGAGGTGTTCTGGGTACATCTCACCGGGAGAAGGCCCCGGGGAAGACCCAGGACATGCTGGAGGGATTATGTCTTTGGGCTGGCCTGGGCCTCAGGGTTCCCCAGAAGAACTAGAGGAAGTGTGTGTGGAAAGGGAAGTCTAGGCCTTCCTGCTCAGAATACTGCCCCTGCGATCTGGCCCCGGATAAAGCAGAAGAAAATGGATGGATATTCAAGGCATAAAAAGCCTTCTTTGATTTTAACTATATGAAAAATGCATAACATTCAAATGTTCATGTGCCGTCTGGATACCTTCCCACAGCAGAGCACAGCCCCACGCTCGCTCCCTGTATCAGCTCAGCACTGCTCTACAGTTTGGTTGATCTGGGTCTGTAGAAAAGCTGTTTATTCCGCCATTTAGAGCACTATCCTAAAGTGTGTTTTCTTGTGCAGTACCCTGTCTTCAGCTTCCCAAACCACTCTTTACTGATTGGTAATGAGGCAAAGACTGCAGATATTACTCATGCTGGCAATGATTTTAAATGCCACAGAGGCCATCACCATATAAGTACCTGTGCCGTTCCACTCCAGCCCCCAGCAGCCAAGTACAGCCCGACCTGGACACGCCCCCTCGTTAACATTAGCACTCAAGCAAAGACCAGTGGCAAGATACAGCCCTCAGTGGTTTCACCGCCCCCTATGGTAGACACCTGGTATTGATAAAATCAGTTATATTGGTAACTTTGGTTTTACCTCTTCATCTGCCTCCTCATCTTCTTCCATCTCCTCATCCATCTGTCCATTGTGAGTGTGGTGTGTGCGGGCACTCAGGGAGTATGCGGGCCCCGTGTAGTGTCCTGTGCTGGCCTGTTTGGCCACTGCACTGTTGAACGTCCTGTGCTGCTGAGCCTGTTAGTTTTGAGATACAGTTACATGTGTGCTAACGTGTGTGTGCTAATGTGTGTGTATGCTAACGTGTGTGTGCGCTCAAGACTGGTTTATAGTTGTCGCTGGCTCAACTGAGAGCTGACGCCCTCACGTAGACCCAAACCACACAAGCTTCTGTGGAGCTCATTAGGGTCCAGGTGCGTTATAGTCCGTATTTTTCGGACTATAAGTAGCACTTTTTTCATGGTTTGGGTGGTCTTGGTTTATCTCCAGAGGTTGCGCAGAAATGACACTGAGGATGAAGAATTCAGTGGATTTAATGATTTGGAATAAGATCATGAGTTTGGTAAACTTATGTTATGTTTCCCCAAAAAGTGACAGACTTATAGTCTGGTGCGACTTATATATGTCTTTTTCTTCTTCATTGTCCATTTTTTGGCTGGAGCGACTTGCGGTAAAAATACAGAAAATATGGTAATTATTTACTGTGACAATAAACAATCATATTAGGCTCAGATGCAAACATTTCTGTGCCAAACCTAAGTGGTTCCAAGCTGTTTTAATCAGTTGTCCTTGTAGTCTGTGTATGTACGTGCATGAGGTGCATGTACACAGCACATGCATGGCAAACACCACCAGCTTTCTAAATGGCTTTCATGCCCATCAGGGAACTGTGCAGCAGTTCCGTGTAGATTTGAACTATAAACCAGCCTTAACATGTACGCATGCTAACACGTGTGCGTGCGTGCACTAACTTGTGTGCGTGTGTGTGCTCTTACCTGTCTCATTGCCGTCTCTCCCACTTTGTCTGAGTGTTTTCTGATGCTCTCTAGAAAGTCCTTCAGGTCTGACATGGAGATCTCCTTGATCTCCTCTCTGAGTCTGGGCAGATTCTCCGCCATGATTTGACAGAACCTGTATTGGCTCACTCTGTGAACAAAATGAGCAGCTTTCAGACAATGCTAACAATTACATATGCAGTAAAAAAGAGGACTAAAAAAGCATTGCGGCAACATAAAATGAGACATGTACCTGGGAATGTAAACTTTCTCCAGCTGCTCCATGGTCTTCAGTGCTGCATAATACCTGCACAAATATACACAAACGATGAAATTATATGAATTTATAAAAATCCACTGACTGATTAAAAACTTCATTTCTTGTTTTTTATTCTTACTTATTTATCTAAGAATTAACATTGAGAATTAACTAATACCTTTTGACTTCCAGCTGTTCCTTCAGTTTACTGTACATTTCTAGAACTGAAAAATACAGAGACAAAACACCATCAGCTCTATAACTGAGGTCAAATTAAATCCACAATATTTTAAGGCATCAAAAACCCTTTAATCTTAAATTTGACTTGTGGGTTAAATGTTGTGCAGTGCTACCCTCTATTGTCCAAGCAGATTTCTTGAGGCCCACATTTGACTGACAGCATTACAGCAACAGTATCCCTTTATCATTCTATTGGATAATGAATACAAATAATACCGCAAGTCTTTCTATGTTCAGCCCTCTGTATGATGGTTTCAAGAAACAATTGGCCACCTTTCCATAGAAATATAGATTTTAGTTTCATTTAATTATTTGAACACTAAAACAGGTTTATTATACTAAAATGGACTAATGTTTGATTTTAATAGCCAGGGTTTGACGGTGTGAAACTTTATATCAGAGTCCTGTAGCGCCTCCTAGAGGGGAGCAGTGTAATGTGAATCACAATTACTGTAATAATATGCTTCATTATTCATTTGGAAGAAAAGTGCAAATATTACCTATAAGTAGAGGTTGGTAATATATCGAAATATTTGTAATACCATGAATGCTGTTTTGATATGGTATGTAAAAATTGAATATTGAGTATATAGTTTATAATAAAAATGCTGCAAAAAGAGGTGATTATATTACAGTCATTGCAAAAATATAAAAATATATATCAAGATATTACTTTCTGTCAATATTTCCCACCCCTACTTATAATATTAAGTTACCTATTATTATCTAGATGGTATAGTATTACTACAGAGACAATGCAATGAACATACCTGGAATACAGAGCTGCATTTTCTCCACAGTGGTGGCCATGTTTCTTTGCTGAATACGACAGCGAATCACATCTTCCGTCTGAACAGTCACCTGCAAACAAAGAGGAAGTGAAAGATTGTAACCAACAAAATAAAATGTCAAAAAACATGAATATATTATACCTAATATATAGTGAACTCTGTGCTTTCTGCACACTTGGGCTATGCAAGAATCTTAGTTGTGTGGAAGCCGGTTGGGCTTGTTTATTTATTTATTTACATATTGAGATATTGCTAAACCACGCTCAAATTTAGATACGTAGTGACAGTGGAACCAATTTGTTATTTTATTACCTCTCTTCCAGCTTCCTGCAATCTTCGATTGGTGTCTCTGACTTGACCCTGTGAAAAAGGGTCAGAAAACATAAAGGCTCATATTCTCAAACTAAAACATATCCACAATGGAAAACATACAAAGGTATTGTGGCAATGAAGGAGATCAGTAGCCACATCTAATCACACATTAACTAGCTCAAACAGTCATCTGATGCTGTAGCTCTATACCACACCCACAGATGTCTATGTCCTTTGACATTCATTAATGAGCCATTGCAAAGCCAGTTTTCACACAGTCTATTAAATAAAGTAACAATATAAAGCCTCATTCACATATGCAGCCCAACTCATGAATTTACCTAATATTTTACCAGAAGAGAGTCATGAGTGAATAAGGCCTAAACTGATTTCCCTGCATTTATGATTTGTCAATTTCACAGGTCAAGACATAGTAAAATAACTGGGAGTATACAGGCAGACGGGGAAAAAAAAAAAGATCACCAGGGTCAACAGTGGCCAATATAAGACTCACCAACAGTTTCTCAGCATCAGCACGGACTTTGAGCAGTTCTGTGATGGCATCCACAAAACCTTGGTGATGAAAGTTGCACATCTTTTCAATCTCCCGGTCATGGTTTCGGATCCGGGCATCCAGCTTTTCCATAAAACGCTTGTGGGCATTGGGCTGGTCATCATAAATGGACCTGGAGCACAGACTACACATCAGCTCAAAGCAGAGGACATGCTTCTTCACAAGCTGTGCTGGGGTTTCCACAAGTACAATATTTGTAGCATAACTTCACCATAAAGAAAAATCTTCCTAGTAATATAATAACCAACAACTGTGATAATCATCTTCATAGCAAAAGTAAATGTTATTACCACTCCCAAGTATTTTTAAAACTAGACATATTTCAGTAGTAGTAATTGTGCATCATTGTGTTTTTGAACCTGAAGACGTCTGAGCTGACAGCGGTAGCACAGATCCCTGACTATTTTGTTAAGCAAATAATGTGCCTTTGCCATCTATCAGAGGTAAAAGAGAATGGTAGGGCTTATTACAAGTATTTTGCTTTTTCCCCAATACAGCTTGTCTACATTCCAGACACTTTGTAAGAAAGAAGCGCTGGGAACCAAAGAAGGCAGATTTAGGCAATAATTGCAGCCATTTATAATGACAATCAGCCAGCTTAGTTCTCCGTCCACAAGCATAATCAGGGGAGTGCATTTAGCTAAATCTTGCCACTGTTATTAATTTAACAGTTTTTGTATTTGCTGGAGACGGTTTTATTTAATTGTGCATATTTTATTAAACATAAAGGCCTTCATATCTTTTGAGCTCAACCCTCAACGTGGAGATAAAAAATGAACATGATGATAATGTCGATTCAGTGAGGGTGCCGACCACAGACATACAATAATTACAGGTGTGGTGAATGGTGCTGGGTTCAGACTGTAGTCTGTGGACGGGTTAAAGCAGCTACATGACAGCTGTATTCAGAGGAGCCTTTTCACCACACCCACAGCGATGTGCACGTCAGCTCCCCGGAAGTCCACAAGCGATCCCATAAATAAATATTCATTCACAAACGACCAATAATTCAGATTTTAATTACACTGATTCTGGAGCTAGCTGCTATTGTCTTGCTTCATATGTACTCTGTTCTCAGTGTATCGGCTTGGCTAGACCGTTAGCCGGGGCTAGCCCGTAAACAAAAGGTCCTGGAATCTGAATAATACAGATAATCATGAAGACATATAACATTTATAATCTACGTAGACGTGACTAGTTTCTCACCGGAGAGTAGGGCCGACGCAGGCCGTTTCCGTGCTCTCTATCTCCTGTAAAATGCGTTCGTGCTCCGTTACACACTCCAGGCTCTCGGTGTCCGCCATGACTGCTCTGTCTGCAGAGGCAGCACAGTGCACCCAGCGGTCCACAGGGGGCGCCACACTGCTACAGGAGAGGTCAGTGGGGCCAGTGGAGGGCAAACCATGGGGCAAACACATAAACATGCTCAAATGCCCAGTCTCATGTGTGCATTTGCAGTAGTGTGTGACAGACTTGGACTTTTCATCCAACTAGATCAAAGTGCATCAGGGCTTACTCTTGAAACACCCTCTCATTATAGCCATTCGACCCTGAGGAAAATAAATTACCTTAATGTAGTCCCCAGTGGCAGGTCAACAGACTCCAACTCTGCGCATATGTTATTGAAAGTGCTGTCCTCTCTGTCCTCTGGTCCTGGCTCAGTCCTGTGGAGCGTGGAGACTGCCATGTCTGTTTTGAGAGCTGCAGCTCAGAGCAGCTGAGTGTGGACACCTGCTTCATCAGCACAAAGTCAGGAAACCTGGCAAAGAGAGAGACCTTGTGATTTAGTGACCTTTGGAACACAACTATAGTTAACTTCACATGATCTATATGTAGATCATTGTATGCCTCATATAAGTTAAATGTAAAATCAATTTTAAAAATGAAGTAGTACAACTGTAAATGTGCAGCTTCAAACACAATTTGGACATTGGTGTGGCTTGTTTTTTTATTCTCAGGACTACATCCCAATATAAATTTGAACTTTACTAACTTTTAATTAATTCATTTTTAGGCCATAGGAGACTATAGCAAGCAGATGAATGCATCACTGGCTATAAAAGATTACCATAATGAGCACTTAAAGGAGTATTAGTTCCTCTGAACATTTTTGTCTCCAATGATTTATGTGGTTGTCTATTTGAACCTGGTTTTGCTGCTGTTTCTTTCCTGCACACTGCCTGTGGAAGTTGGTGCATGAAAGCATTGTGTAGTTGACACATTACTTCTGCTTTCCTGCTATTCTTCTGTGGATGGATTGGCTCATTGTGAGTGTGCCTGGGCCTATATGACAACACACACTTTCAAAAGGCCTGACTATGAGTTTCCTTATTGCCCCACTGAAAAGGAGAAGTGCTCTCATATTAAACTGACTGTTTTCACATTGTAGAGTATACCTGTTAATATGTATGGGTCAGTAATTATAGCCCTGTTTTTTGTTTGTTTTTGTTTTTGTTGTTGTTGTTTTTTATATCTTTTTATTATATCCAAGTTCAGTCAAGTAATGCATAACTATCACAATTTAAATATACGCCTATAACAAAACATTTGAGTAATATAGTCTATCATCTGCTTGATCAAATAAGGTTGTATAATATACTTTTCCATGATATTCTCATTTAAAATATCTTATGTTAAACTGCAATTGCCCTATACTTGTCTGGCTATAAAGTTAGACCATCTTTAATTATCAAACTGTTGTGCCTTTTGTGGATGAGTTTCCCTGTAGCAGTGCAGGATGTGTCACAGTTCTTCCTGTTTCCTGTCCTGCTCTGCTCCACTGCCCTGTCTCCCTCAGTGGACCTATAGACAGTTTTGAAAGTGGTGTTTTAGCTTGCTTTCCAGATCCTCTTAGTCCTATCACTGGTTTGGTTCATGCACAAGTATCCCAGCTTTTATGTTTAATACACATAGTCTCTACAGATATGTAGAGTGTTACTGTTCTCTTATTTCACATGTAGGGGAGATCTGACATAGGCCTAACACTGACTTGTATAATGGGCATAAGTCTGTTTACAATGGCTTGCAAGTAAAAGGGCTAATAATATATAAATGCATTATAAAAACTGAAATAATTCTTTTAATGATTTGATAATGAACCCATTCAAAGAAATTGCACGAGTGGCCATTGTTTCATAGGCAGCTGCTTCGTGCAGATGTGACTAAAAATAACCTGAAGAGGGCGCCATCGAACCACGGACGGGTCAAATGAAAAGCCAAAGGTGTTTTTCATTTGGAGCTGATTTGGAGTAGATTCATTCAGCTCTGTGAATGCCAGCTAAGAGTATTGTATATATATTTTATACGTTAATGAAATAAAACTTACATCAGAATGTATAGCTTATTTGATAATGGATATGGTCAAGTTTTTATATATGAAGCCTTATAAATTAAAATGTTCTTGGGTATGGCTGAAATAACAGATCTTATCTCAGAACAGAAATCCAAGTGTGTTAATTTGAATACTGGTGATTGTTTTTATAACCTATGTAACTACAGGCTTTTACAGGCATATCAGGGATGATGAGAAGAGGTTTTGTTTCAAGTCAGTTTTAGCAGTGTCCCCAAGAGACAACAGGGCAGGCCGTTTCAGTTTGTGGTGAGAGCACACATCACTGCACAGGCCTGTGTCTCTGACCCACTATCTGCACACACAGAGAATTAGACACCAAATATATGTGAGTTCACAGGACAGAGAAAGCAGAGGTTCGGTGATATATGACAACTAGAATAAGCAGATGATTTTCAAATTGTACTTATTCTTTATTGTACTTGTTCTTTATTCAGTCTGCGCCATTTGGCTCTGTGATTTTGGAACCAGGTTTTAACCTAAAAGAATTTAGATATTTTAATACTTTTATGCTAACAGAAGTAACAAATTTCCCTAATGGGTTACATTGTTCCACTCTGTATCTTAATGGTGGTTACTATGCCACAACAGACAGAGGAACACTCCTCTGGGTGTTCGGAGCAGATGTCCACCAAGGACAGTCAAGTTTCATGTTATTTATGGCTTACCACCATATTAGTAAAAAAAAATCAAAATCAATGTCCAAACCAATATGCAAGAAAATTCAAACCTTTGTCTATAAGTGAACTGGTTATGTAAACCAATGTATTCAAATTTACTCTGACTTTCAATCTAACCCTATTCTTCAGTTCAGTCAGAGGTCTAGAGTACATTACTTCTTCAAGCTTGTTGTGTTCCGTGTGAGTGCTCTGCTGACTGCCAAGGGAGCGCAGTTAAACTTCTGGTGGCCCACTGAACTCTCAAGAGTTCTAGTGAAACAAGAGTGTCCTGATGCATGCAAGAGTACAGCTCCCCTCCAACATGAGGTAGCAGATGACCCACTGTCACTGTTGTGAAATAGTCTAGCACTTTTTAGAGATGGGAAGTGAAAGAGGAGTAAACAAGCTGGGCAGAGGTTCAGCTCTGCACAAACATGAGTGTCAGGGGTTGGAGGGACAAGCGGGAAAGGAAGGAGAGAATAATGGCATGGATGTAGTAACAGTTGCACTTTCATTCATACACAAGCCGTCTGGGACACATACTGTACACCCAGAGCACATCCTCAAAACAAAATCTATCTTGTCCTTCAAAAGAAACATCTGCAGTGATCTTTTTGCTGTCATAATGCCTTATTCATATAGAATGTATTTTGGTGTGAAACAAGCTTGGAGGACAAAGTCTCAAACCCCTCAGAAGGTGACAAAAATGTCCAAGTCAAGATCCTGTGGGTATGTTCAGTTAACCAGACCAATACAAAGCTAACAGTGAACCAGCCTCACATTGTGGGTGGTGGACACACAGCACAGTAAAGCAGTTGGTACTATTGACAGGGCAATATCAAATGAAAACATGAGAGAAAAAGACCAGTAAATCATGAGACGCAAAGAAGAGCTTGTGAAGGTTTGTGTATTTAGGGCAGTTGTCAACGTACAGTATACTGGACTGGACTTTTATATACAAATTGCACAAAAATACAGCACTTGTGCTTTTTGGCCAGTTACACTTACTGAAAATAAAACCTGTAAACTTGGTGTGCACTTACTAATGTATTCAATGTTTAGCTCTGACCCAGAACCTTTCCTTAATCCATAGTTCCTGGTTTTTGTTTGGCCCCGCCCTCTATGGCCCTTGCATTCTTTCATCTCTGTCCTTTCCTGTCCGTGTGGCCATCACTGTTTTCACAGTGGTGTGGAGGAAACCAAACACATGAACACTGCATTGTTCGACCCAGGCTCATTATAGCTGCCAACAAGTGCAGTAATAATTTCCTGAAAGGCCACACTAATGAAGCAGCATCACGAACATCGTCTGTGAGGCAATAGAACAACTAAAACTCCACCAAAGAACACAATAGGACGATTAGCTTCTGGCTATTACTTAACTCCATCTGCAATACAAGTTTTAAATGTTGGTCAATATTTTGGATCAGATAACATGATTCTGCCAATTCAATTATGTAATAGAAATGAGAAGTCCTCATTACCCACCTAGCCCATCATCTAGTGTGAGGATGAGGAATCTGATCACTCTGTCCTCACAAGCTGACACCTACAGTGTATCTAAACAATTCTACTATCAAACTATCAAAACATTCCTCTCTTCATCTTTTCTTCTTCAGAGCCAAACATTCTTCAAATATAGACTATTTTTTGGTCACATTACTTACTGTGTCATTTTGGTCTCAGTTGAATGAGTGATATTTTAACTTAAATCAACTGTGGCTGAACACCTCCTGAGCTACCCTTAGCACCTAGCACATGGTGTTTTGAGACATCTCATGGTTACACAACATTGAACTGATTTAAATGAAATAAACTAAAGATAACACCGAGCACACATTTATAATAATGTTGTGAACACAAGCCACTGAACCAATTCTAGTTTATACAACTAAGCTGGACTTAAATTCTTATCAGGTTGGAAAAACAAACTTGCTCTGTCCTTCCTGCACATTACCTGTACATTGTTCCAAAAATGTCACTTGTGCCTAATAGCACTTTAATTGAGTCTGATGTTTGCGGTGCTTGGCCATCACTATTTATTATAAGCTGTTTGCTCGGCCTGTGGCCTGTTTGAACGGCTAATCGCTCACATGGAGCCTATCTAAATTGTATGGTGAGGCAGAAAATCCTGTACTCTTTTAAGTAGTGTCTGACAACCTGAAACTGTGCCTGTCTTCCGCTGTGCGATGGCCTAATTGAAAGGCAAATATTCCAGCTGAGTGCACTCATGAATCAGTGGGGCATCTCTCCTTGGCTGCCTGAGGAATGGAGGGCTGCTTTTCTCCATGGTCTGAGCTCACTGTTCTGTGACAAAGGAAAGTTAAAGGGACAATCATAGCATCAGCAGCATTAACATCAGGGCACATCACATTAGACCAGTAACCATGTCAGTAGAATAATGTTAGCAAAATTAAAGATGGACTAAAACAGTATGTGTGTGTGGTGATAATTGGCTAAAATTATAATAATAATAATCATAATAATCTAAATAAGGCCTTTGTATTTTGATTATATTGTTAATAATTCAAGTTCAGTAATTCAGTTTTGTGAATGAGATGATCAGAGGACCCATTAAGATATGAAAATGACATTTGTCTAAAGGAGTTAAGGACTTAACGTATAAAGGATGGTCCCCTGCACTTGCAGTGGAGCAGCGGAACTTAGGAAAAACACATTTGTCATCATTACAGCTCTTTGGGTTGACACTGGGCTTTCTGTTGCTCTGAGTTTACTTTATGTTTGCCATCTTTCAGCACACTCCATTTAACTGAGTCCAGCACTGGAGCGAGCCTGCTGTTTGCCTGTGGACCTGCTCATGGATCATGTGCCTTAAGGTTCTGTCAGACCAGTCAGTGCCCTTCAGTATAATATACCCCTATTGCATTTGTAGTTCTTGTGATACCTCTATTGATTTTTGTCATGTTTGTGAAGCTGACAATGAGGCCACTACGACAGCTGTGTTACTTCATGAAATGTGATTATCTTCTTATGTTTGTGTATCCTTTGAGATTATTTTAAACATTAAAGGCATAAGATCAAAGTCAGGATCTTTGCCTGGAGAACTGGCTTGGTTGTTTACTTTGTACTGCAGAACCTCCTCTGAAATCCACTGAAATCCAAAGTCAACAGTCCTGCTAGTACATTTATGTAGCATAAATGCTCCAAATTGCCACTTGAAGTCCTGTCCCTTTGGCTGGGGGACACTACACTTATCAGTGGTGGTGGGTTGTCTCATTAATTGATCATCTCTGAAGCAGGAGGGGCAGATAATGGTTTCCATTTGGCCAAGGTCAACACTCCACACATTCCACAGTTGTTCAATTATAAGCACACATTAACCAATCATACACACAAAACACACAAACACACACAAGAGAAAGATAATGCTTTCCAATGCATTTATATAACTATAACCGAAAATGAGAAGTCAGCAATGTACATGAGTCTCGTACTTGTGGTCTGAATCTGGCCACAGGAGGTGTGATGGGTCTTTTCTTTTTACATTGTATGATTATCAGGACTGAACACTGACTGAACAGTGAGTTCTTGTTCTGGACTGAAGAGGAGGTCTTTAGATCAAGGAGAGGTGCAGTATGGCCCTTTGGAATCAGTTTGCTGTCCCCAACATTTCACCCAACCCTGTGTGCACTATGAGTCTCTGTGTTGACTTTCCCCAGCACAATCTGTGAAGCATTACACAATAGAGGATCGATCGATGAGCTGCTGTTAGTTTTGGAATCATTTGTGTGGTTATATGCGCAAGTATGTGTGTGGAGTAGTGTCATTCCTCTCACAATTTCAGTCTTTGGACAGGTGTGGGACCACTCTTCTGGAGGAGTCTTGCACATGTACACAAGAGTCAGATTCAGATAATATTGTCATCAGTGATTGTGCTGCTTGGTTGTATTACTACTGTAGCACTACTGTGCTGAGGCTTCTCACAATCATTAACCTCATCTACTTACCGAAAACTCCCCCTCTGTTTGCACAGCAGCCCATCGATAAGCTATTTGAAGTTTTAATGTCCTTCTGATCTGTAGCTCCACTATCACACTAGCAGAAGCCTTTCATTCAAACCACAACACACCTTAATTATTAACATGAAGTCTCTAAAATTGTCATGAGTGTTATTGTGCTTATGAACTGTTGGATACTAGATATAGGCTTAAATCTAAAGATGGCTGGAGGGCCTAAATTCTCAGGAAATACTTTGTACACAAAACTCCACAAATAAATTAAAAAATTTTGATTGTGATAACAGATTACCACAATTTAAAACAAATCATGAGATTATGTGATTTTGTGCACTCTGCCAACTGTAGGCCTAATTGTTCATTTATGAATGTGAGGTTGTGTTTATAAGTGTGTTTGGCGTTGTCTTGCTATTGACTAATATAAACACATTACACCCAATACTTGGTTTCCAGAAGAAGAGGAAGAGCCATGACTCAACCACCAGGGCAGATAGACAGGGACAGCAGAGGATTGTCAGAGCAACAAAGGAAAGACTGTAGGACTTCTCCCACTCAAGAGATCAAAACCTCTATATAATTGCTTTTGGTAATTGCTTTACATAAGGAGATTTATATAGTACTGCAACATGTATGACAATAAGACTATATCACAAAACACATTTATTACATATAATGTAAACAAACACAAACAAAGTCAGATATTTTTAAGTGTTATAAAAATGCAAGAGCTCTTTCATCAAGCTGACTTTTGTAGTCACTGTGCAGAGGTCAGCTGAGGTCTGTGGGTGCATGACCATGTCAGATACTCAAATACTGTATGACACAGCAGTATCCACAAAATAAAGTAAAAGAAGTTATTGAGTCCATATTTTTATTACAATTATTGTCCTGGAACAGCCTTTACTTATTGGGCCATTGTTTAAATTTTCAGTGGCTTTCAGAGCTTTCTAAAAGCACGAGCTCAGCATCTGTCCTGTAGTGTGTGCATTTGTTATTAGAGTGTTCAAATCTGTGAAAAGGGCTCTATATGTTCTCACAGGGGATAGTGTGGACCTCATAGGGAACCATCAGAACCTCAGATGGGGCGCAGGCAACAGGAAAATGTCCTCAGAGGGGAGAGTGTGGGGTCCTCATGGACTGGCTGGTGTCCTCAATGTCCAGCTCTTGGTCTGTGTCTGACAGCTCTGAATCCAGCTGGTGCTGTAACGGGTGAGGTGATCGAGGGCTACACGGCTGCCCTTCTGAGGGACTCTTCATTGGGCTGGGCTCACACTTGGCTCCCTGAGGGGTCTCCTGGAAGAAACAGGTAGGTTTGGAAGAAGCTCTAGTGTGGAAAACTCTGAGACATGGATATCTCACCTGTTTCAGTCTGCGCCATTTGGCTCTGCGATTTTGGAACCAGGTTTTAACCTAAAAGAATTTAGATATTTTAATACTTTTATGCTAACAGAAGTAACAAATTTCCCTAATGGGTTACATTGTTCCACTCTGTATCTTAATGGTGGTTACTATGCCACAACAGACAGAGGAACACTCCTCTGGCTGTTCGGGGCAGGGTGATTACCTGTCGCTCTGTCAGCTGCAGACTCTTAGCAAGTCTCTTCCGCTCTGGAGGAGAGAGGTATTTCTGTGAGTCAAACTTCTTTTCCAGCTCCAGCGTCTGCTCGTTGGAGAAGCGCACCTGCCCCCCTTTCCTTTTGTGCAAAGGCCGCGGGAGGAACGGACCCCACAGCAGAGGTTTACCTGCATCAGAAAACACACTCTCAGTCCACTGACCATTGCTTTGAGCACACTTAGAAAAATGCACACAAAAAAATCACATGAAAGAAACTGACACAAACACTCGTGATGAAAGCGCAGGTTTAGTGGGAGCCCGCGTTTCCGTTGGACTTCACGTCGGACTGGGGAAGCGCGTAACTCACGGCAAAGACTAGTTTCCTGCCTCTAAAGACTGACATTGGGAGAGTAGGGTAATAATAACAGCCTGAATGTCTAGATTACAGGATATATTTAGACCTTTTAAAATGAAAGACGCCGCAAAAACCATAAGCCAATATATATATATATATATATATATATATATATATATATATATATATATATATATATATATATATATATATATATATATATATATATATATATGTATATGTATGTATGTATCATCACATCCTGAATCACTGCACAAAAGGTTTGCTTTTATTTTGTACGGTTAGTCTTGGGTATGAGGGGATTGGGTGAGCGCTATTAGAGATTGAAAGCAGCTGCCTACAGGAAGTGCAACAATAGTGAACATATCAGCGCCGAGTGTTTCCTCTATGGTTTCTATTGAGGATGTGGAGAAATAATCAGCAGCGCGCAGCGCGCCCCGAGGAAGTCCTGGCCCCACTCCTCCATCACACTATCAGCGGAAACAGCACCGCAGCGGCTAGGGCCCGCGACCTGAGGCCTCCACCGGAGCCCACAGAGAATGCAGTGTGATGGTGGCGCGCACAGCGCAGTGTCAGCGCGCGTGTCACTCTCGGCTCCTGTGAAGTTCTAAACAATAGGATCCAGGAAGAAGAGTCAGGGTCTTCACCAAGTGCGCGTGGGTTTAATTTGCCACAGCAAATAGCCTAGGATTAGTAGCTATGCCAATTTGATCCAGAAAGTGATGGGTTCAGAACAAAAATCTGTGCTGTTTACTAAATTAATCAAATAAATTTAAATTAATTTAGGCCCAAACACCTCAGTATTTCAAAACGAACAAATACGAATCACAAGACTTGAGCCATGATAACATTGTCGTGTGATGAAGGCCTATAGACCTAGACAAGCTACAGTATATAGCCACAGTTCTCCAACGCTGCTGTCAAATATGCGCACGGAGATGTGCACATCATGGTTTAATAAATCTAAAGTTGATGCCATGGCAAAAGATCGTGCAAAGATGATATTAACCTATCAATATGTTATATTCTGTTGAAAAATTTTTAAGAAAACCTAAAGCTGACTAAATAACCCATATACTTCCCAGAGTATAGCTGTAATAAAAAGGCCTGGAAAAAAATCCAAGCAATTACTAGTGACTACATCAAGGTGAGAAAAGCAGCATTTGCGCATTTGAACAATTGAGTAAATGTAGCGTAGGAATTGTGCATCCAAAATATTATTCTTATCAGGGGAAAAAAAAGTAATAATAATAATAAGCTACTCCTCTACTCCAATAATAACATTGATATATAACATTGGGTTTGGACCCTGTCACAGCCTATGCGCTCGCTCAACTTTTGTGCCAGTTATTTATGGCTTTTTTTTTTTTTTTTTTTAACCAACTCTCAGTTCATGCAACAACATTCCGAGTGCCTTATTATAATATAAGGCGCTTTAACCCCTCAGAACCCAGCAGGCCTAGACCTGATGCCCCCGTGGTCTGCTGTATACACATGTGTCAAGTGTGGTCCAGAGACTCAGACTCACCCAGAGGTTCGTGACGGAGTAGTACCTTCGCGTACTCGCCTACGGCGCGTGCCTGCGGCTGTAGTGGGTACATAGGCCCGGGGTACGGTCCTGGCGTGTAGGGTGATGTGAAGAGTGGGTGCAAAGGCGTGGGTTCGTAGATATGAGTACGATACTGAGATACCAGACTCGTGAAAGATGAATGTATAGAAGGAACAGTGGGGACGTGCGTAAGCGGCGCTGGACAGGACGGCGGGGACCCACAGGGCACAGAGGCTCCGGGCCCGCTCCTGCTTAGGATGTCCTCAATGGAGAAAGGTGTCCGCTGAGCTGGCGGCTGCGTAGCTGCGTACACTGGTACTGACATGTCCTTTAGGGTTCTGGGGTCTTGTGCTGCACAACAAGGAGCCCGGCCCGCGTGGAGCGGGAGGCAGTCCAGTGCGTAAAGCCGTCAATTTCCTTCTTAGAAAACGCAGCTCTTGGGTCTCCTGCTCTTTCGGCCAAGGATTCAGATTGGTCTTACCCGAGGAAAGTTTGTTTGTGAGCAGCTTTGAACTGAAGGCCGTGCACTGCAGCGTTACCTCCCACACTGGACCGTTATGTGTCTGCGGCTAGGGGGAAAAGTGATAAGCGCGCGGCCCACTTCCTGCAGGTGTCCCAGCTGGCTCCTCATTGGCTGTCTCCAACGCGTGCGGCCCTAGTACCAAGATAAGTGTAGTTCAGAAGAATCATGTCCATGGCCCATCATCAGTGGCTGGTGTTATCCGTTATCCGGTAACGGACACATCTGTCGACCCACAGAGCGCGTGTTGGCAACCAGCGATAGCTAAACGTTTGTCAGCGGATCATTGCCTTTGTGCATGGCAATACGGTACACAATTCCTATTTGGGCGTAGTAGGTATTCAAATAATCCCGAAATCAGTGAAATCTATTGATGCATAAAAAATACTTCCATAGGCAACTCCAAAAACCTAGTAGGCTATGTTAATAGACCTTGCTTATAATAATAACTAAACGGCACAAATAGGGGGAAGTGAACAATCTTAATGATGCATAGATTGGTCATTCCAGAAGCGTGTTGTGTATGAATTAAAAGGCCGGAGGCAGACTCACATCCTGTGAGCACTGCAGCGGTTTCCTCAATCTGTTAAACAATAACGCGGACACTTCTCTGTTTGGGAGTGACACCACGAGCCTTCGCCAGATTTTTTATGATCATTAATGTCTTCAGAGTCCTTATCAATGCTTTACAATGTTCGATTTTCTAATGAGGGTTAAAGCGAACTCACTTCTAACTTTCCAACGGCTCCAATTTAGATAAATTGTCTGCCTCGAAGCAAACAGTCTTGAAGTCATCAAAGAAGTCACCAAAAGGCTAATATTTATACTAGGACAATGATTGTAGCGCATTGATCCTGCAGCTTCCCCTGGCGTCAGGCCAGTGTCCAGAAATGATTGATTGGTCCGGAGCAAGCGGCCGCGCAGTGGCTCCCAGACAGCAGTCAGGGGCCCACACTAGTGCCGTATCTGCACACCCTAAAGGTCGTTGAGGCAAAGTGAGGGGATGTACACTGCAGTGTGTGATTCTGATTTAACACAGCCGCATCAGATCCGTAGGGTCAATTGACGAGTATTTAAAATGTTTACTTATAATCAAAAGTTCATTCAGAACATAAGAATTGTGTTTTCTTTTCTCCATTTGACCATATTTGTAATTTATTAAAGCAATAACAATTAGCATTTCATCCAAAAAAGTGGATTAAGGATATACAGAACATTGATATATATTTCAAATCCTTTTTAATAACATACAGTACTATTAATGTAGGAGCCAGTATTTCTTTCAATGAAAAGTCATAAGTTTTTAAGGTAAAACTCAAAATGCACAAGTTTGCACAATTAATAAACAACCGATTATGAAATGTCCCATCATGTGTGATTCTCCTGTATATGGTTTTCATTCATTTAGCGTGTCCAGCCCTATAGTTACATAGTGTGTGCTGGCACTGTCATCAGAGAGCACTGTTTTGGTCTGTGCCAGGGCTGGCCTCCAAATTTGCTGCCGTTGTCTGATCTGTACCAGGACAAGTCTGAAGCACTTTCAGAATATGTCCCAATGTCCACTGGTCCTCATGAAGGACGCCCTCCAGCGTGAATGGGCCCTGTTTGGTCCTGGTCAGGGATTTCACATGGGCGCAGGATGATAAAGCTGCAAAATATAATTAATTTAGCTCAGGCCATCATATTATTCATAACCATGGTGTGTGCGTCTGACCTTTTCCAAGGTCGTCCACCAAACTTCTGACATAAAAACCTCCTCCACATTCAATATCTGCCCAGCAGAGATGAGAACAAATCATCACCAAGCATACTTCAGTTCAGTATGAATTTAAGTCACTGTGGAAACAAGCATAAAATACATGGAGTAGTTCCCTAACCGAGAGTGAACAGTGGAGGATTGAAGTCTTGCAGGGATATGTTATAGACAGTAACTGTTCGAGCAGGTTTAGCCTCCACTTTCTGTCCCTGTTTCAGCAGTACAGACAAACGTTGCCCATCCTTCTTCAGTGCAGAATAGCTGCAAAACAAAAGAATACAGGTTTTGACATGTTTGCATGATAAAGACTGAACAAGTTTGAAAAAGTATCCGATGGTGATTGTTCTGACCAGATTACATTAAATCTCCTACAACTGATTTTTTATCAAGGTTCAATACACACTACATATGTATATATGTGTGTGCACGTGCGTGCGTGCATATGTGAAAGTGCATGTGTGAGAGGGTGTACATGGTTGAATGGTTCAAAGGAACGATTTTAAATTGGTCTATGTAAAGCACTTTGTCTTAGATGCTATACCAACCTTGTTTGAATTGAGAAATATTAACTGCTAAACTACTGCTCAACAAATACGTCCATACTAATCAAATAAGATAAATCTCAACTCTATGTAAGGTTGTTACATACCCAAGAATAATAAAAAACTCACAGTGGGGGTACCTGCAGGATGTCACCGACAAAGCTCTTCAGCTTCTCCTCCATGTCTGCCCTGCTGACGTGTCCTGACCAAAGGCAAACACATAATAAGAAATGGTACAGAAGTGGGTAGGACTCTCTTGTCCATAGCACACTCACCAAAGGGTTTCTCCAGGGTCAAAGTCCCAGTGGCATCAAGAGTGTCTGTGGCCTTCCCCAGTTCACCCACTGCAGTATATTTCTGACAGTGATATGAATGAACCTTTATATGTTTCATAATTTCTACATTAAAATTACTAAGCAACAAACAAACAAAACTGAATGGACTCACCTTTGACCCAGCCAACATTGCACTGAGCATTTTGGTTCCATTTCCAACACCAACCACTACAGAAACAGTGGTCAGCACATTATCCAGTAAACTGTGTAGTATTATGTAGGGCTCCAGAGGCAGTACACAGTTTGAACAGGATATTGAAGGACAATATTGACAAAATAATGCGTGCAGAAAACAATATGATAACATTACAGCCTACATCAAAGGCATCGACTTGAAAGCTAAACCCCCCATGATCTTTCATGTGTACAGACCTAACACCCCACTGGCAGCGCTGTCCAGGGTTCCTCCGTGACCCATCTTCATACATTGCTTCTTCCTTTTCCTCGGATTGGGATTGGTGACCCCCGCCTCTGTCAAACAAACAGCCACACACAAGTAGGTACTTCAGTCCAATAGGCAATAGAGACGACACAAACCATTTAGTACCTCTCAGTAATGCCTCTTTGAGCGCGTTCAGCACATCGGCAGATGTAGGTCCTTCTTTTTTAAACACGGGAAAAACTCCGTTGAGGGCCTGCAGTCTGGACAGAGAGCTGCTTAAGGACACAACGCTGTTACTCAAATTTCCAGCCATGCTTTCTCTTCTTCGATTTGGGTCATCGGATTGTCTACAAGCTCCACCTAGCGTCAAACATGTTATATACTATAAAAAAAAAGATTAATCAGTTGAAATGGAAGGTCAGTTTCGTATTAATCATTTCGTGTCTGTTTTATGCAGCCTTCTAATAGGTCTTTATTTTATCTATCCACTGGCGTACAAATTCATTTGTGGAGTAATTTCCTATTACACTCCGACCATTTGGCGGCGACAATAGTGTTATAGGGCTTGTGGGTAAAAGAAACATTGGACTTCAATATCCATCATCCTTTGCGCCGAACTGGTGTTTACTTCCGCGTTACGGTTAACTTCAGTTGAGACTTTAATAGAGTTGATCGTTCAGGTTTGTATTACTTTTACTGCATTTTTAGAAGCCTAAAACGAAACAAAACGCGTTTCAAATGGATAGGCATCACAAGACATAAATGTAGAGTTAAATGACTGTCCACGATTTTATTGTGTTTTCTGTGCGTTGCAGTCAGTTTTGTTACATTTGGTATTGAAATATAAAGCACGGTGACTAAATTTACTTTGCCAGAAAAAGCAGATAATAATAGAGTAAATCACATTGATCACTGATAACCAACGAGTGCTTGCATACACATCAGGCATGATAAACCAAACGAGTCAGTTCTGTAATGAATTTTATTAACAGTGGTATTAGGACGTCAGTTGATCTTGATCATATTTTTGGTGTGTATGTTAACATAGCCAATGTCTGTGTTTCCTGTAGCGTGTGTGGGTATGGGTGATATGAAGAGCACGTACCTGAGCCTGTGCAGGGAGAGCGGTGTGGAGCCCCAGGAGGGTGTCCTGTCCCAGCTGCAGAGAGGGCCACGCCTGGACCTGAGTGCACACAGCTTGTCCGCAGACACCTGCTCCGTACTGTCCAGGACTCTCCATAAGAACCATTCAGTCACAGAGCTTCTTCTGAGTGACTGTATGCTCAGCGAGGAAGGTCTGAATCTGCTTCTTTGTCTCTTGTGTATAATGCCTTACTACATGCTGTGTTACAAAGTATTATACATGTGAAATAGTTAGTTAATAGTATCTGTACAACTTAGCATAGTCAGTTATATCTTTGATGTCAATCAATTATGCTCTCACACACTAGTCACTGCTGTGAAGGATGCTCTTGCTGGATATGTGTATTTTTAAATTGTATGATGCTTACTCATAATATACTCCATGAATACTAATTATATGTCTAATATGTCTGCCCTGTTGAGTTCAGCACAACTCTCAGCTATGCCGTGATGGGGCATTTTTGTATATGTGATGTTTGTGTTATGTTATGTGTGTGCCCCTTTGCATTGTTTTGAAAGTAAAATGTGTGTTTGTTGATCCCAGGGGCCATTGCACTCTTAACTGGACTCATTGGAAACACCTCTTTGAAAGTTCTTGATCTGAAGGTAATGCCCTCTCTCATTCAGTTATTTACAAACCAATACTGTGTTTGTGTATCTTGTTTGAATCAGTGAGATCTATTACAGGGTAATAACCTCAGAGCTGCTGGAGCTGAAGTACTGGGAAGGATGTTGGCTCAAAATAATTCATTAAACAGGTGAAGATTATTAAAATAATGTCTGTTTAAGAGTCGCTTGCCCTTGTGTAACAAATCCGCTTCATCCACACTTCCATGTTTAGGTTGGTGCTGGAGTGGAATGCACTTGGCTTATGGGATGAGGCCTTTTCTCTCTTTTGTGAAGGCCTGGCCTCAAACTCCAGTCTGAAAGAGCTGGATTTGCGGAACAATCAGATCAACCCCCAGGGGGCGTCAGAGCTATCTCAGGCCCTCAGACGCAACAACAGCCTGGAAATGTTAGGTAGCACTCCCTTTGATTTATTCAAATGTTGTGTTATTTTTTCATATGTGCACATGCTTGCCACTGTAAACTGTATGACTGTCTTTGTAGATCTGAGATGGAACAACATTGGTCTCTTGGGGGGGCGCTCTCTATTAGAGGCTCTGCAGAAGAATAAGTGTCTTGTTCAGCTGGAGATGGCAGGAAACAACATCCCGAGTGACATGGTGCGAGCCCTGGGTGAGATCTCTCTCTTCTGTCTTTTTATCCCTATGACGTGTTTCTATATCAGACCGTAGCAGGCTAAATGCAATTCCTCAAAGATGTTTGTTATTATTTGTTTGTCCTACAGCTAAGGTGAAATGTAAGTCAATCAAATCAAAAAACTGTCTTCATAAAATAATTCTCAAACAAAACCCAAACTGCTGTATAATCATGAAAAAAAGAACATATATTGTTTGTATGTGTTTGCGCAGATAAAATACATACAAATGCCCATAATTCTTATTACATTCGATACACTGGATTTGATAGACACTTGTATTCATTGTACTGTATTTATTTATTTGAAGATTAAGATATTATCATATTATTTATACATACTAATTTATTGTTTGATGTAAATACATAAAAGGATCAAAAAAAGAAAAAAAAAATACAACTGTGATGCAAAATAATTATTATCTCTCTTATTGTAGTCAGGCATGTCATAATTGATTACTGTTGTTTTGACTTCTCCAGAGCAGAGCACAGCCCATAATAGTGAACAGCAGAATGCGCTGAGGGAGAACCGCAGCAGAACACAGGTCCTCAGTAAAGAGATCCAGATCCTGAAGGAGGAGAAGGGACGACAGGTGACTCAGCACAAAGTCTGGATGTGGCTGTGTTCAATGATCATGATTAATGATCTTTTCTTTGTGTTGGACTTTGTTAGTTTCTGAGCCTAATGGAGACCATAGACCGACAGCGAGATGAGATGGGGCGCTCAAACAGGTCAGTTCTCAACTCATGATGCACATTATGCATTTGGGTTTCTTTGGGCATGTCATGGTGTGAATGCCATTATTGAATTACTTTAATCAACTAAACACGTATTGTCCACAGATGTACATCTGTGCAGATGGCCCAACTCCAGGAAGCCCTGAATGAGAGGACATCAGCTGTCAGTTCTCTTACTGCCAGGTAAATAATTGTACTTATCAAGCATATAACATAAAAGTTATTTTAATGTGTCAATTCAATGTAGAATTCACACACTGCAGCTGTCATTAGATGTGCAAGTGAATATGTTAATGAAGTAATGTGCAAAATCTACATCTTTGTTCAGTGAAATGTCAAAGCAAAGGTGATCAAAAACATGTCTTTCTTAATTTAACACTGACCTGTGGTTATGGTGTGAATCATTTTGATGAAAATGTTTTTAGTGTAATGAAAATGTTTTTAGTGTGTTCTCAACTATCACTTACAGAGGTCTAAGTGCTACAGGGTGTGATGCTCTGCTCTTTGCAGGTTACAGATGGCTGAGGCCGCATTGGCTCTGTCTGAACAGAAAAATACCAACATGGCCACTCTGCTCACTCAGACAAAGACTGAGAAGGAGAAACTTTGGGAACAGCACAACCGAGAGAAGAAAAAAGAAATTGAGGTACCTCACATATGTTTGATTCTGAAATCTTATATATTTATATGAATTTATATGAATAAATGCAGATATTACAATATGCATTTTACTGGACAATTATCTACAACAGGACAATGCTCTTAAAGAAAGCAAGCTTCTCAAAGAAATTCAGAGTCTGACCAACAACAATGTTCAGTTACGAAACAAGGTAAACCCCACAGTGACATGTGACCCTCAGAGCTCCTGCTGTTCCTCTTCAGTTCAGTGTTTGTGTGACAGGTGGAAGAAATGGAGTGCAGGTGCAAGTCCCAGCAGCAGAACATTTTTGAGCTCAAACAACAACTGACCAACAGCACAGCGGAGCTAAAGATTCGGCTGGCTCAAGCAGAAGGTAAAGCAGCATACGCAGGACTGCACCTGACACTGGTAAGAAAATGGTGAGTAGTGCTTAAAAATGCTGTTTTACACAGATCGGCTGGACAAAGAGAAGCTGTATTCAAAACAGGCTTTGGAGAACCAGAACAGTCTGCACCACAAAGAGGTCAGCTCCTCAGAGGAGGCCATAGTCAACTGTCCTTCATAAACAATCACAACATAATGCTTTCTGTGTATGCTGAACAGGTAGAGAATGTTAATCGCCATCTAGAGGAGAGTGAGAGAGCTTTACAAGAACGTATTTTTAAACTTGAAACACAAAGAATCCAATTGGAAGAGGTTTGTTAAGTTTTTTTTAACATTTATTATTTTACAGATTGATTTGCTTGAATAAAACAAAAGGATTTGGATTTTGTTGGATTTATGTAGGGTCTTGTTGATAAGAAAGTAATATCTGTAATATGGCAAGTATCTTTATTTTAGATGATCTTCTAGCTTTTGTCCCATAGGAGGTGAGCCAGGCCAAAGCTTTATGTGCAAGTGAGCGTGCCCAGGCGCAGGAGGAGCTCAGCTGTGTGAGGGCACAGCTTCGACTGGAGGAGGTCTGTTCTTGCTTTACAGTCTGGACAAGTACTATGCTCTACCGAGGTCTGACTGTGTGTTGTGTGTGGGCAGAGGGAGCAGGTGTCCTCCTTGAAGGAGAAGCTCTCCTCCCTTCGCTGTTCTCTGCAGGAGGCTCAGCTGCATGCATCCCAACAGAAGGACTTCATCTCGGAGCTGCAGGCCCGGAGCAGCCAGCACAGCCTGGAGGTGGACACTCTGAGAAGGAGGATTGACGAGCTACAGCAGGTCTATACACTTCACTCAGATGCATATCCATCAGTGATTCACAAGTCTGTCCCATTATTTTGTATATACCTCATAAAGGGCTGTGCAATTAATCAAATACAAATGGTCTAATCGGAAATTCAATTGTCCAACTGTTTTAATAATATGGGTTCACTCTACCCAGCCCCTCATCTAATCTGCAGACACTATCAAAGGATGTATCACAAAACATTACAAATATATGATCATATTATACTTTCTCTACTGGTTCATGTTTGTCAATATATCAGAAATGAGTGTGATTTCAAATATAACATAATATATAATAAATTATTGTGGTGTTCAGGTATCAGTTGATATTGGCAAATAAGTATCAGTATGACTATTGGAACAGAAAATGTTTATTGGCATTTTAATTTAAAAAAATGTATTAAATGCTCTTGAAGTTTCTCATTTTGGAACAATTTTACATCTGGTGTGAATAATATTGCAGTTCTTTAAGTATGTAGATGTTGTTTTGCAGGAACTGTCGGGGAAAGAGCAGGAGAAGGTGGTGGAGGTGAACAAGGTGCGGGTGGAGCTTCAGGAGCAGATCGGGCGTTTGGAGACTGAGAGGGCAGCTCAAACTGGACTCAAAGAGAGGATAGGCGTTTTGGAGAGAGAGATGAAAGGTTAGTACAGCAGTCAGTAATGGACAGTACAACATAAAAGTCTAGGAGTGATACTGTGGACAAAAGAGTAGATATATTTAAAAATGATAAAACTTTGTTGACTGCATTGTTTTGGTTTGCTACATTGATGCACAGTTAATATCAAGTGTACTGTTCTTGTGTGCAGTGCAGAGCAGCAACCACAGGGAGGCGCTCCGGGACAAAGACAGTGAGATCACGACATTGTTGGAGAAAGTGCGGCTGAGAGACGTTCAGATCCAGAGAATAACAGAAGCGGAGGCACAGAGAGCCAGCTACCTGCAAAGTGCCATTCTCACCTATGTACAGAGCTCTCCACTAGGGCACTTCAGCAGCCCAAACAAGCCCCTCTGAGCCACACAAACTGTTCACAGTCCAAGGAGCACATGCACAATTTCTAGAGGTTATGCAGATCACAGGGAGTGGCAAAGGCACTGAGGAAATAATGATTGTCAAGTGAAGACAATAGCTCTACAGACAAAAATTAGGCCAGAAAAAGCTAATTTAAGGAGACAAAGCTTAATTTCAACTGTGTCCAATCATAAGATCTGTGTCATTGATAACTTGTGAGCTGCTATGTCAGTGTCAACTGGATATTTAGCAGAATTGTAGACTTTTATATTTGTTAAGCTGTAGCCTACACTCATATAGCCTACCTTTGCCACTCGCTAAGACACTTTCATGATGTCATCTGCAGGCAGATTTATGATGTCATCTGCAGAACCTCTGTTGAGATCTTGCTTCCAAACCACAACCTTACCACACAGAGGCAGACAGGAGATATGCTAACAACTCTGCCACCATAACAAAACCATGCTTCACACATCCACATACACATCTACACAAATCTTAATGTAAAGGTCTCCATTGGCTGTGTCTACTGTATTGATTATTAAACTTTAAGAAAGATTCACTGTTGCCTAATGTGAAACAATATGAAGTTTTTTAAACCATGCCAATGCTGGTACATTTTTGTACACTGTAAAATCAGGTAAACCCAGCCTAATCATGCTGATCTGCATTTGCTCCTTCAGATGCTGTTTACTTTTATTAAAGTCTTTATAAAACTGTCACTTCTAAGAATTTATACTTACATTTAAACTGATTTGAGGGGGAAAAAAAAAAAATATATATATATATACACATACATACATACACACATATATATGTGTGTATATATATATATATATACATACACACACACACACACACACATATATATATATATATATATATATATATATATATATATATATATATATATATATATATATATATATATATATATATATATATAAAACTTGTCTATGTTATATTATTAGGATAGCCTATATTTATATTTCTTATGTGATTTCCTAATTCTAATGCCTTGTCAGTCTCGTGGTCATACTCGACTCGCACTCCCTAAAATTTGCTGCTATTCCTTTAAGGATCTTCGGCATTTTTCGGAATTACTCGGTACTACGCGGTCGTCGACGAGCCCTTTCACTGCGTCTCCATCGCCGAGCGGACTACCCCACAGCTCCCATCTGACACAGAGCACAGACTGACGGATCTGTGACCGCTCAGTACCGGCGTGTGAAGCTCCAGCTCTGCACAAATGCAAGCGATCAAATGCGTGGTGGTGGGCGATGGGTGAGAGCCCTGTGTGCTTCAGGGATGTCTGTCCGCGCGGGCGAAAGCAGGGATGGGAGGATGCTATGAGGATAGGGGGCTGGGGCGCTGGTTCGCTACTCGTTTGCTTCTATGCGGGTTATTTTTGCATCTGTTGTCGCTTTTGTGAGCTACTACGCGTACTATAGTCGGCTACGTGTTGTTCACAGCGGTTTATGACAAAGGCCCGGGATGCTGAGGGAACACCTACACGCCTCACAGGCCACTGGAGGATGTGCTGATGCGTGCGGAGGAATGCGAGCAGGCCCTGCTCCTCTTCGGCTGATCCTCCGCTTTTATACACTGGGCCTTTGGAAGGGTGTAGACTGCTCAACAGAGCTATTCCATTAATTAGGAATGTGGTCTTGACAGTGCAGTTTGCTTTATTTCAGGCTCGTGTAAAATGGCTTATTTATGCAGGAAAAATAGACAATTAGGCCTAGTCTCGTGGGTCATGAAGTCATTGACGACATACAGTAACATGACCACTACATCACTTATTCACCCTTTCTCTGATATGAGGTAGGCTAGTGGCCTCTACAAAGAGTCCCTCTTCAGCGGGTCAAACTTCTGCTATAAAGAGACCAGTAGCCTTTGTGGTGACAGTGGCATCTTTGTGCATGTTTGTAACCTGTTAGTCCTGTCCATAGGAGCAAAGAGGAGTCTGTGTCTCTATCTCCCCAGCCTTGTGTGATTGCTTAGAGGGCTTGTATGTGGAGACCATAGAAGGGGGTGGTATAGGGGGCTGTTGTGTCCCTCAGGCCACGCAAATGTAGGGCAGTGTGTGTGGTACATAATGAAAGAGACACTACAGTGGAGAGTGCGTGTACTGACTGTGTATTCTCCACAGAGCTGTGGGTAAGACCTGTCTGCTCATCAGCTACACCACCAATGCCTTCCCCGGAGAGTACATCCCCACAGTGTAAGTTACACAACTTTCTGTTATGTTCATATGACCCAGGAAAGTTTATAATTGCTTACCGTTATGTATCCATATATGCTATTCACAAATTCAACTTCCCTTTGGTTCAACGATCCCCACTGTTTCACCTGCTCAGCCCTGTGCTTTGCTTCATTAATACCATACATACTTGATATTATTGTTGTGTGTTTTACATTGTCAGTTATGTTTTGTTTACAGCTTTGACAACTACTCTGCCAATGTTATGGTGGATGGGAAACCGGTAAATCTGGGCCTTTGGGACACAGCTGGACAGGAGGACTATGACAGGCTGAGACCTTTGTCCTATCCCCAGACGGTACTATCCACACATTCTGCACTGCAACATCAAAACATACAGCAAGAATTATACAAGGAATTTTGGAAACATATGGCATCCTAGCTTTTGTTGAACTCCACAATACCACGTTTTTCAAATGTGCAATAGAAAGACACTATTGCATTTCACATATTGGGCATAAAATGCAGAATTGTAAATGTTGTTTGTCCCTCCTCACTGTTCCCTCTGAGTCACTGTCATCAGGAGGAATTGCCTGAGCAGTCATGTCTTTGGTTTTCTCCCAGGATGTGTTCTTGATATGCTTCTCCCTGGTCAGCCCGGCCTCCTTTGAGAACGTCCGTGCTAAGGTCAGTAGGCTGACCCCTGGTCCTTTCATGCCGCGTCTGACCACTAGGAGGCACATCTTTGGCTCCACCTGGCTCACTCCGCTCTGTGTCCAAACCTGGACTTAGCACACTTCAGTTTGGAGTGGTGTGGTAAGGCCAGGTCTGGAGCAGGGCAGTGTCTTTGCTGAGGGATGCTCAGGTCTGCAGTGGGTTCACAGTGGAGCTCTCTGGGGCTCCTGTGTGATGGCACAACTTTATCTACAGCCGGACTCCCTCTGTAAAGACATTCACATGAAGTGTGGAAACACCTCATTTATTCTGGACATAAGGTACAACTGAAGTGTCTGAAGTATCAAAGAAGAACTAAAGTCAAACTACTGAACAGGTTTTACACTTAACTAGAAAACTGCAAATAATCCTCTAATAAAATTTTCATAGTTTATTCTGATCTCAAGGATTTGTGAATTTCATCTTATGATTAATATTTTTATACACATCAGATGCTTAATATTAAATAGCTTCAAATTATTAGGACAATAGAATTAAAATGCATCAAATAGTATATTTACATGGCATCCTTATTATGTTTTGCATACATCTGTTGCACAACAGTAGACAGAGTGTTGTAGTGGGCAGCTCAGCGTTACTGCAGTGACCCGGCTCACACTAAATCCTCTTCTCTCTCACTCACGTGTTTCTGTTCCTGCAAATGTGTATATGGCCCCAGTGGTATCCTGAAGTGCGGCACCACTGTCCCAACACCCCCATCATCCTCGTGGGCACCAAGCTGGACCTGAGGGACGACAAGGACACCATTGAGCGTCTGCGGGACAAGAAGCTCTCACCTATCACCTACCCCCAGGGCCTGGCCATGGCTCGTGAAATAGGTACTTCCCACAGCCCCAAACACTGCAGAATGTTCTGTGACTGGATTGTTGCTGATTGTTGTGTTTTTAGGAGCAGTGAAGTACCTGGAGTGCTCTGCCCTGACCCAGAGAGGCCTGAAGACCGTGTTCGACGAGGCCATCCGAGCTGTGCTCTGCCCTCCACCCGTCAAGAAGAGGGGCAAGAGGTGCACTCTTTTTTAGACTCCGCCCCATCACCTAGATGCCACCGCTGGTGCTCTGAGAATAATGAAAAGTGAGTGAGAGTGCACTGCTCAGACTGCTTTCTTTATATCAGTGTTTTTCCAAATGATATTAGCTACAAGACCATTATTATAGAGTCCAATTTTTTACCATGGCAATATGAATATGTCCATAGATTCTGTTTGAAAGACTGTCTACATGCTAGGTACTGTAGAACATGAGTGTGGCATGAGGGCTACAAGGGTTTTCCTACAACATACAGCTCTGAACCAGTGTGTGGGACACGGTGAGGTCACAAAGCATGCTGTAAACACTGGCATGAACACTCAGAGGCGTGTGCTTTTCCCACAGCGAGCTTTGTCTTCTCTGCACTCATAAGTGTGGTTTATCTTAGAGCAGTACCCTTCATTTCAGTCTGACTGCAGCAGAAAGGGTCACCTCCTTCCAGAGCAACGTCGGGTGTGTTTAATGCCTGTAGGTCAGTCTGGAGGTTTATAGTGATTTTGTATCTGCTATTCTAGGTTACTGCTTCTGTTATTGGTCAATGTAAGACTTGACTTCAATTGGGTTGTTACATATTCTAAATTCATACATGCATCTCTGACAGTAATCTATTGACTTGATTGAAGCAAGCAGTTGAGGCCATCAGATGCACTGAGGCTGTTGATACTGTGAAGGTACAAAGGAAGGCAGACTGAACTGGAGTGTACAAGTATCTCCACATTCACTCTCTCCTGTCTGGAATGAAGTATTAGTAAAAGACCATGAGTATTTCTGGCGGCCTTTGTGGTCAATGTCATACGAAGCCTTGTTTTATCGTGGCCTTGAGTCAGAAGTATAGGTGAGAGCTTACAGTGCTGTATGTGTCAAATAAATATTGTTTGCAATGTACCACAAGGTATAGTGGAGATGCGGTACTTAGAGAGTTGCTAATATTTAATATGATAGAAAGATTAGATTCTGTGCCATGTTCATAAGTACTTTCCACATGTGTAGTGTACACTGTATAAAATTTCTGTCAAACACATTGCCATCCTCTCCTTCTCCTGCTTCTGTTTAAATTTAGATTTATTCAAAAAGTTCAGGCAAACCACACTTAACTGACCCATGTTGGGGCCAAAAAGGAAGAATGCAGTAAGATATGCTACAATTATTTCTCATAAATGTGGCTTATTTCTTGTTTTTTTTTTTTTTTTGTAGTTGACACTGTTATAAGCAGAATATTTTTGTGTTTTTGTTTTGATTTTTGTCCAGATTTGCCTAGCTCATACATCTGTTTAGCATTTTGTGGTTGCCCTCACATTACAACAAATCTAGACCAGCCAGAAATAACATTTACTAAATTATAAACTAAAATAACAAATTTAAAGGAGTAATTGATCACTTAGCTGCAGATGATTTAGTAGTCTTTAAATAGCAGTATCCTTAATGATGATCTTTTGAAACTGCTGGTTAAGGATTGGAGAGCAGCGAAAAGGGGTCAGTGGTTATTAATAAATGAGTACACTCTATAGACTTTTTCTAGACAAGTGACTCTAATGTTGTCCCTGCAATGAAGTGGTGAAGAGGCAGGGTTAAAACAAGGCTATGATGTAATACACTATGAATCAGATGAATATATTTTGTCGAACACAACCCCTTAAAGCAATGACTTCATTCTTTAGTGCATGTGAGTGTTCTGTTCGGGCCTAATGTGATTCCCTTTGCACTGAGTGTGTGCCATAACCAAGAACTGTGCACAAGGGCCACGTACTTTCAGTGATTTTATTGTCACATTTTGGTACCATTCAATTTTGTTTTCCAACATGCTAAATGCCACCCAGAGAGGAAGAGGTTAAGTTATGTACAGTTAAAAAATAATGCATCATCTATCTTGATTCACACGTACCAGTGCATTTAGAACTTATGACTCTATCTATTGGAATTGAAATCTATTTGAATGATAGGCTTTAGTGTCTCCTGATGAACTGAGAAAGGAGCCAGTTTGTGCAAGTGGCCCTTATCAAATGCATTTGTGGTTTTTGGCTGCAGTAAGCGCCCCCATGTGGCAAGGCGCTGTTCAGCCCTCACTTTGTTTGGGTTGCAAACTTGCATAGCACCAGTGTGGTAAACTGATATCTGTGGTCTTGCCTAGCTATAATTTAAAATGTAGCTGAGAAACAGCAAAAAATGTGATTTTACTATTGCATGGAAAGTGTCTGGTATTGAGCTGCTGTAACTCTTAGGAGTGGTACGAAATGCATTGGCCATGTACTTATGTAATGTAAGATGACTTGTTCAAACTGTTTGTCTTATTTTTTATGACTTAACGTCTGTGTGGTGACATATTTCAATTTTGTATACTAAATGTATGGAGAACGTGCTCTGCTGTCTGTCTTTATTCACCAGCTTCAGTACCTTCTCATAACCCTGCCTTTACATGTACATTTTACTCCATTGTAAATTATTGACTGGTGGTTTATGGATTATAGTAGAAGTGCTGTAACGCTAAAGGCAATCATTTGAAAACATGCTCTAATTTTTAACCTCCAATGTAGCTGGTTAAACTGCTTTGCCATGGGACTGCCTTAAAAGAGGGGGGGTCACACTCAGAACTGGGGTAAGATGACTTTAGTTTAATGTAAAAAATTATCTTAACAACACAAGAAGCCCCCATCCACTGGCAGCGTTGCTCCACTGGTCATGTTGCTCTTGTCACTCAGCAAGAACAAAATACTATTGACCACATCTTCCACTTCTGTAAAAAGACACAGACACTTTCACCTTTGTGACAAAATATGAACAGAAGAAGGTGCAGATTATGTGCGATTTATGTGGGGCTAGTCTACTAATACATTTTCTTTTTATTATTTCCATAGACATATATACAAAAGCTACACTGACTTTTAAATTTCAAATTATGATACCATGTGACGTGAGTCAAACATGTTTAAGAATATGTGCACCTGCGAATTGACCCAGGGGGATGCGAGACTTCATAGCACTTGCTTTTTCAGCATCACTCCAACCGATACGTCCCATCTCAGTCATCACCACTGTGGGGTTCACACAGTTCACACGGATCTGTGCAAAGTAAGAATGTTAGGTTAGACCATGCGTCTCTAACCTGTAGCTCGGGAGCTACCAGTAGCTCTCCACCCCCTTCCAAGTAGCTCACCAAAGGATTTCTGAATTACACATATTGTGCTTAACTAAAATATGATTATCATTGTAAATGTATCATTTTGATGCTTAACTTCTGCACTAATGAATGGATAAAGGTTTTCTAAGCTTCTAACTGTACCCCATCTAAGGCTCACCATGACTCTTATACTTTCTCAATTTCTTGCAACCACTAAAATTAGTAGCTCTCTGGCATTTGGTTGGAGACTCCTGGGTTAAACTCTGCACAGGTAACTTAACAATGATCTGTCAAGACCAGCTGCCACAATGGCTTCCCTCTGTACAAACTGTATACCAAAATAAATTACATCTGTGGGAGCTGGAATCATACCACCAACCTGTGGGTCAATGGATCTGACCGCTCTACCAGTGTTTATGTGTTTTGAACGGCAAACCTTCAGATCAATGGACAAACACTCTGAGCTACTGTCACCCCAGATTCATCAACTAGACATCTAGTTGATTCAGTTTTACAATTCTGTATATGCCCTTTCAAATACAAACTTGTAGTCATGTAAAGCCAAATAAAAACATGTAAATCGTAGTAATTGAATGTAGTAAAATACTAAAATGAATATTCTATGTTAAATAATGTGTTTTTCATTTTTATAAGAGTTTTACCTTATAAGGACCCAGCTCCAGAGCCATAACTTTGGTGAGCATGTCCAAGGCTGCTTTAGTTGAACCTACACACATACAGAGTGATAAAGTACACATGCACTACTTGGATACATTTCATTTTCCTTGTGGAAGAATAAAGTTACTGACAGTAGACAGTGTGATCCCTGAGAGCGCACTGTGAAGCTTGACTGGACACATTCACAATGGACCCTCCAGAGCCCCGTGCTTTCATGGAGCGGGCCACTATCTGTCACACAGCATCGTGACTCAGAGGAGTGTGCAAGCTGAAAGAATAAACTTTAATCTGTACCTGAGACACATGTAGAACTGCCTTCACATTCACACTGAATAACCTGCCAAAACACAAGGAAGGAGAAATTAAAGTTTTATTGACAACTGGAAAAATTTGGAACATTATTATGTCCATACTGGTCAAACTTCTCTGGGGTGACCTCTAGGAATGGTTGCAGAATGGCACAGGCTGCATTGTTGACAAGCAGATCAAAGGGTCCTGCATGCTCCAGAGCAGCTGCTGTAGCCCCCCAGTCAGACAGGTCCACACACACAGGAACAATGGAGGGGCACTACACACAAATTTCAAACTTCAGTTCCACTATAGAGATTCCATATTCCATGTTGACATAATTTATGCATGTGTGAATTTAAACTGAACAACTTTTAGTGAGGTATTCTTTAAAGTTACATAGCCTATCTGAATCCAGTGTAGTGCGGTGTGTATTAAGGTCCCACCTCGAGAAGCAGGCTGTCCAGGTCAGTCTGTGTGCGTGTGAGAGCGGTCACCTTTGCCCCACAGCGGGACAGAGAACATGCTGTGGCTCTGCCAATCCCTGTCGTATACAAAAACAGAAATGTATCGACTGTGTGACGGGCAAACGACTGAGAAGCAATGTGTCTGTATCAGACCCTGTGCAGACACAACCACCCAGATCTTCAGCCAACAGAATCTAATTTAAAAGCTCCACACTCCCCTCCTCCTCATCACGTGTGGTACCAATAAATCTATGAGACCACCATTTATTAGAGTAGTGTCCCATATTTTTAGTGACCATGAACAAAGTGGAAAATCATCTTCGGGTAGTGTCATATCAAAAAAAGCCGAATAGCAGAACCATGCCTAGTACCCCAATCCCTTTTATTATGAAATTCTATTTCCGTAGTCTTAAAACTGCAGTCCTTATTAAATTTACTGCACAAATAAAATCACATATATGAATTTGCTGAATATTTAGTAAAAGTTTTGACATAACATTTAAGATTAAATGCTGAAGTTGCCAAATAACCTACTGTCATTAGCCAAACACTATCAAATAAAATTGTGAAATCATGGAGTGTCGTGTTGTGTGTAAACAACTGGAGGTGTCTCACCTTTCCCTGCTCCCGTAACTAGAGCGTGCTTCCCCGCGAACGAGATCTCCATCTGTCCAAGAATCCAAGACCAGCACAGGGTCGTGCCCATAAACTGTACACTTTTATACAGTCTATGGTCGTGACCGGAGAAACCCACCGGGTTTTGGGGCCGGACGGCGGGGGAGGGCTGCACTCTGCAGGAACTGGAAACACACTTCTTTCTTCTTCTGTGGACTTTGCTTTGTTTCACATGAAAACAGCACTAGGCTTTGTAAGCGACTCACCACTGAGCAAGCACCGTCACACATGAGCAGCAAATTCATATGATGGTCCATCGGGTTAGTCCAGGTCCAAATCCAGGTCCAAGTCCAGGTCCGCGTGTGTTTACACACTTGTGTTGGGATTTCCTGCTTCTGGGGGACATTAGGCCCTGGGTTTGATTAGGAATCCTATTTTCTGCATGGTTTTCCCAAGTTTTGTAGCTTACCTATAACAAATACTGAATTTAATTGATGTTTTTATCTCCCATAAAAGGCCTACATTTGTTCTAACTGGATATCAGTCTGACAGTGACCCCCAAACTACCACTATTTGAGAAATAGGCTACATAAATGTTCATGTTTAGAAAATTTAGGCCTACGGCACAATTATACAAACGCTTACAAATTAGCTATTCTAATGTGCTATATTTCAAGCTAAAGTATCAATTGAGCAAATGGGGTAAAACTTTTTTTTTTGGAACTAATGGACCCTATGGATGGTTCACATCCACATGTCCATAGAACAGTCCATCCACAAACTGGAGGTAAGATGGGTCAAGTGTCTTACCCAAGAACACAGCTGGTGAGAGCAGGGATAGAATCAGCAACCTTTTAAGAACAAATGGTCTACATACTGCTGCCTTTGACCCCAAACCCTTGCCATCAAACATAACTTATTTCAACCCAATGTATTTTCTGTCCCCAGAATGGGATGTGTCCCTATGCATTATGAGTGTTACAGATGTTAATCCCTACAATGTGATAAATACCCTTCCAAACACACACAAAAGAACTACATTTCTGACTGAGCTAAAAGCTTTATTTTCAAAAACGCATCATAGAATAATACAAGAAAAATCAGTCAATCCACCGACCAGCAGTGAACTACATAATATTTGAAGCGTCTCTCCACAACACTGGGGATAATAACACTTAAGAAGTCCCTCTGCTCTTGGAGCCATCTTTTTTGTGGGGGTCTGCTCATAACACACACACATACAGTGCAAACATGGGGAAAAACCCCACTGATGAACAAAGTGATATCAAGAGATGACAATTACCAATGTGGACATGACAAATATAAGTAGTGTTTATGGCAAAGCCTCCTCAGGTCAAACAGCTGAGCAGAGGTCAGATGGCAACAGCCTACATAGTACACCCTATTGCACTTACAAGATACTTGGCACTGACATGATTAGGATTTTCCCCTTTACTACTGTCAGCCAGATACAATTTTGCATCACCATTTTCAGACCATTCTTTGGTTTTAAGGAGGCTCAGTGCAAAGAGTAGTTCAGTGACCAGGTTCAAGTTTAACATTTGGACACCAGTCAGTATCTGGGTACAGCAGACAATGAACTGTCTTAAACCTGGAGATAGGACACAGTAGGTTATTCAACAAACATTTTTTCAAACACAATTTTCTCTACAATTAAAACCATGTAAATATTTACCGTGTTGGGTCTTCTGCAAGTGAAAACCTTCCAGCAACACTGACCACATTTCTTCTGTTCTCAAAGCCTCCATAGCTGAGGGTGACCTGGGCAAAACAAAATCAGGCTCAGGGCAGTTTACTACAAGTAATTACTATCACTACTAATGATGCTATAGCCTTCTATATACAGTACAATTGGAACTTTTGGGGAATGCTGCATACTTGACTGGAATAACCAGTTTTGAAAAACAAACAATTACAAATTCAGTCAAGTCAAGGCTTATGGTCTTGGATTACTTTTTGCTAAGTAATTTTGTTGTATGTACCTGCTCCAGGACAGTTTCTGGAGGCAGCTTCCGCAGGTTCTCCAGATGAGAATGAAACAGTGGAGTGTGGGTCAGTTTCACCTCCAACAAAGCCTCAATGATGTAGCCAATTGTGCAGTCATCCGGCAGACGAATTTTCTCTGCAGTGCTGATGAAGTTCCCTAAACTGAAATAACAAGATATCAACATGTATCTTTAGTTTTTTACTAACAAAATATATTTCTTTGCCAATTCAGTCAAGTAGTAATATAGTATAATAAGAAAAGTACCCAAACCCCTGGTCCTACATATGGAATTTTGATTGTGGATTGGCAATGGTTCGGTATTAGCTAGGAATAAAAATAGATTGTAGTGTTACTGAGAGACTACCTGACCCACCTGGCCCAAGGGCTCATCTTCAAAGCCAGACCACGACTGATGCAGAAGCCTGCTCCTCCTGTGGCAAACCAAAACTGCACAGACATCTACAGGAGTAGAGAAAATCTGTAGTTATAATAACTTCTGGTTGCACAATATAATAATTGTACTCTAAGTGATTGAAGTGTGGTTGTAGTATATAAATGACTAAAGTAATAAAGTCTGCCATCATAGCTATAATGGGGGCAAAATCTGATTCTGTAATAAGGCTTTTGTCACTTAAGAAGTGAACAGACTGACCAAGCCATTGCTTTTGACCCTCTCGGAGGCCTCAATGGGGTGGTCCAGGCTGGGTCGGCCCAGGTACACGTCCTGACTGTGGTGATAGGAGGACAGCAGCAGCAGTAGACTGGGCAGCAGTACATAGTTGTCATCATCCACATGGCAGAACCACCTGCATAAACACAGCGTTTTATATTGACCCACTGGGGACTAAAGGGGGTGCTGTGTACTCACTTTTTCTGTGACTCAATGAACTTGTCATACTCCACCGACATCTTGCAGCATAGAGCCTGTCGAGTGTGAGCTGCTGAGCAATTTGTGTTGATCAGATTAGCTCCTGCCAAAGAAAAGAGCATATTAATTAAAAAAAACTATCATACATAATAAAATTTTACTTCATTTGCATTTTAAACATGCCTTCATACGTTTAACAGTGCAATCACCTCACTGCTTATTACCTGTCCTCAACTGCAGATCCTTATCCTCCCCATCAGTGAAGATGTATGTCTGAAATATGACACAATTAACTGCTTTGTGTAAAGAGACATGCATTTATTCCAGCTTTTTACTTACAAATTAATTTGTAAGTAATGATTTACTTATGATTGTAAGTATTGATTTACAGAATTACAAATCCTTTGTAATTCTGTAAATAAATACATAGTAATATTTCATAAATTGTAAAATGCTCATGAATTACAGGAAAATTATTCAATGGCTGAGAGAAAAGACACTTTAATGTTTCTTAAATTTGTTCTGAACTGCGTAATTTTTGGAAACACAACAGTATGTAGTGTGTAGTGTAAAGAAGAATATTGGAGACATGAGCAGAGAAAAATTATGATGTTGTACATTATGAGATGACAAGATAAAGCACCTTGTCAGGTTTGACTTTTTAAATCAATTATCCCGAAACTGGGATATTTCTAATTACATAGGCCAATAGCCTAAAAAGATGAATTGTGCTCACCTGCCGCTTGGCGTGGGAAACCCAGGTCTCGATTAGAAGTTCCAGTCTGGATTTATGGTATTTTCTTGTGGTTTTCACAGCAATAAAAACATCCTCTATATCCAGCAGTTCATGTTTGATGTGGCCAGTAGAGGGAGCTCCTATACTTTTCCTCCTCAAAGGGACCAGAGCTGGTGTGTCGCTGAGGCTTCTGTGAGTACCATTTGGAGCAGGCCTGACCTGGGCTTTTGGCTGGGGTAGAACCAGTGGTCGGGCTGGGGGCTGCAGGCAGGGTAGAAGAAACAGCAACCCACTCAAAGCCAGGGCGAGGCAAAAACACAATTTGTTGATGCCCACTGAGGCTATGTGCATGGTGAAATGCCTCAGGGCCAATGTCCCAGAGAGGCTTGCCCCATCGTCATATCCTCATGTCCTCACAGATGACCTGCATATGGGACAAAGACACATTCATCTCTCAACTGATATGAAAGAAATAAGAACATTTCTTCATTTCTCTCAGGTAGTCTCATTCTAAACAGATGTCAACATTAAGATTCAACACGGCTGGATGATGATTAACCTACACTTTGTCTGTTCCTTTAAAAATCACATTCAATTATTAGCATCTAGACTTCTTGCCAGTACCAATCCCCCTCTTTTAGCTGTGCAGCTAATTCTCCTTTCAAAATACCCCACTCGCCACTGTTGCCAGCAGAGGGGGTAAGACAACAAATTCATGAATTGAAGAGGGATGATTAAGAAAAGGAATACGCGTATGTGTAGATTATCTGTTATAAAATAAGCCCTTGCCCATAGGCCTTAGGTGCCAGTTCAAATATAACCTAAAAGCATTAAAACAAATAAGCCAAACCTACCACTAATCCTACACTATTAGCCCATGTATTTCATTATCGCGTAGGCCTACCAACTCGCAACAGATGACACTATAACTATCCATGTAATTAAAGACCGACTCCATGAAACCTAAATAAGACCGTGTAGCCAAAGTGGAAAACGTTACTCACTAAACAAATCCTTATCCAGACTCACGTGAAGACAACAGCGGCTCCACACCGCAGCCTCGGCGCAGATCTCTCTTTGTTTGCCCTCCCTTTTCTCTAAATTCACGGACATACAGAATTGGCATTTAGCCCAATATAATCCGAATAAGCCATACAAACTAACATTTGAAACTTTCGGGGAAAACACATCTGGGTCGATCGTTTTCGCCCAGACTGCGGACACTTCCGGAATGTGGCTGTTTCAAAATAAAAGCGAGTGAAAAAACTTTGCCCAAGCTGCTGTGTGTGAGTGGGTGTTTATCACAATGTGGGGACCGAAATCCAGTTACTTCATAGAGACCTTGGTTTGAAGGGACCAGAACTACATTTTAATATTAGAACAACGACATGGTTAAGTATAGGTCTATTTCGGTTAAAGTTTTAGGTTAGGCTTAGGCTAGGCGAAGGCCTATAGTAGCCTATAGTTAAGATCAGGATCAGTCCCCTGGAAATGAATTAGTGTTAAGCTAACGTGATTGGGTGAATTTTAAATACGAAAAAAGAAAAATGTTAATTGTACATTAAGTGTACTGGATACATGTATAGGCATACTTAGGCTACTACTTGTGCTCTTTAATTTACTTGAAATAAATAAAAGATGTCCCCCGTGATATAAGAAGACATTAACATCTTTGGCTATGTCCCCGTGAAGTATGGAAACCCAACATGAATGGGTGAGTCATGTACCAAGCTCATATGTATTATTATATTATATTTAGGCTGTAATATTCTTGCAAACATTGTCAAACGATAAATAATAACATTAAATATAATAATAACAAACAGGTTTAGAGGAATTTTCAGTACATGCTAGCAGCTTCTGTCACAGAGTATTACCACCATGTTCAAGAAGAGGCACCAACAGCATTGAGTCTATAGAAAACACTCAAAATGATCTAACTGTCTTGTAAAATAAAATTGTTTTACATGTTATAGGCCTGTTATAGGCTCAGTTACCATTATACAAAAATACAAAAGTATATTAGAAGCAATCACTGATAGTTTGATTTAGTTCCATAGATCTAGTTGCACTGACTAACTGATAATTGTAAATAAAGAAGTTGATATATGGCACAGTATATGGCACATCTCAGCTTTGTGCATCAGATTACAAAACATACTGTTGGGTTACAGCAGTTAGAATATCAACACAGGTACAAGAAATTTATTCAATGTCCAAAAAAGCTTTTGTTTTAGTCCCTCTTGGCTTAGGTCTGCACTGGACACACAGTCACAGAGTTGCAGGTGTCTAGAGTGTATTCAGAGCGGAGTCGGAAGGCGGGGATCAGGGGTTCATTAAATGCAGTGTGGAAAGTGTGGATCAGCTCAAGACCACTAGGCAGCACCCTAAAGAAGGACAAGACCCCCTCCTCCCAGTCCAAGTACACCACCACTGTGCACTCAGCACCTTCATGGTACCTACTCCATCTATGGCTACTTGGGACCCTTTTCTCCATAATATTATTATGCCAGGCTGAGTAATACCAGTGGGAGCAGTCCAAAGCCCAGGAGAGGCAGTTGCCCCCAAGCTTACTGGCACAAGTTTTTCCTTTCTTCTGGATCCCTCTATAAGTAACGGCTATAGACACCAGGCCTCTCCATTTTACCTCCCAGTAACAGCGCCCCATCAGACCCTCACTGCACATAACCTGGTGCCAGAATTCAAAGCTGTCTGCCCCCTCTTGGTCAGGGACATCACCATCTATAACACAGTTGTTCTCAAAGCACTGGAGCCCTCTGTGTGCTGTGTTCAGGTCCATTGTGAGTTCACAGGCATCTGTACAAACAGGCACAGTTATCAGACTGGCAGCTAACACATGCATTAACAGCATACTTACACTTTTTTGGCCCTGGACTCAGCCGATACAATCCACCATGCTCTGTCCTGGAAATTAGGGATAGTCAATCATTTTTATCATGTTTTTTTTTTCTTGGCCCAGAGATAATAAAAAATGGCCACTCAGTGTTTACCTGAGAGTGGTGAGGCTGCAGGCAGGCTGCTCCCGTGCTGCAGACAGCATGTGTATCCCTGAGTCTCCAGGATGGTTGTACCTCAGATCCAACTCTCTAAGCTGACAGCTGTCCAGTGCACCTCCCAAAAGACCAAAGCCTTTCTCTGTGAGCAAGCAGCCCGAGAGCCTATAGAAGACCCAATCACAACAAACATAATCTTAACTCAACCTTCTGACATTTTCCTCAAGGAGAATTTTAGTTTTTCTAAGTCATTATAACTAGTGATGGGCGAATGGAGCCTCGTGAAGTATTGACACCTCAGTCGCAATATTGTCTCAAATGGTTCGACGTGTCTGAGGCCTCTAGAGAAACACTGACCTCTAGTGGACAAATTTAACCATTGGCACGCAGGTATCGATGATATTGCTAGAGTAAGACAATACTTGTGTGCAGAGCATACACCGTACCTAACAACAACAATAATAATTTAAAATTATATGTAAAGCGCAACATAAATAGAATGCTGTAAATAAGAAAATAGGTTACCTTGTTAGGTGGAATTAGATCAAAGTGATCCCAAACCATGGATCGCTTTTTTCCACTTGTAGATGCCATCGAAAGTGAAACTCTGCAGGGCGGTGTCCACAGCACTGCGATAGAAGGCCTTCTCAGCCCCTCTGTCATTCACTGGCTTCAGCTTGAGCTTTGCGGAAGGAGCTTCAGACAGAAGATTGAATTGAGAATTGAAGAAGGTCAGATGGACATAAAGAGCAGCCAGAAACTCCTGGACACTCAGATGTATGAAGCAGTAGACCTTCTCCTGGTACAGTCCTTGCTCTTCTCTAAATACCTGAGTGAACACTCCAGAGCACACTGAGGCCGCTGCAGCGTCTAGTCCACACTGGCTCAGGTCAGACTCATAGAAGATTAGATTTCCTCTCTGCAGCTGCTCAAAGGCCAGTTTTCCCAGAGATTGTACCATCTTCTTGGTCTCTGGAGTCCAGGGAGAGTCCATCTCAGAGCGCCCATCATACTTACGGCCCTTCACTTTGGTGTGGACCACCAGCAGGTGGATGTACATCTGAGTGAGGGTATGGGGCAGTTGGCTCATGGCTCCTGCCTCCATCACGTGCTTCAGGACAGTGAAGAGGATCCAGCAGAAAATTGGAATGTAGCACATGTTGTGAAGGCTGCGGTTTGTCTTCATGTGGTTAATGATGACTGTGGCTTGTTCATCTTCAAATCTCTTCCGGAAGTACTGTTCTTTCTGTGGGTCAGTAAACCCTCGCACCTCTGTCACCATGGAGATGCACTCAGCCGGGATCTGATTGGCTGCAGCGGGGCGTGTGGTTATCCACAGTTGAGCGACAGGGAGGAGCTTTCCCCTGATGAGGTTCACCAACAGGACATCCAGGGGGGCAGACTCTGTAATGTCTGTCAGGCTTTGACAGTTTTCAAAGTTCAGTTTAAGTCTGGACTCGTCTAAACCATCAAATATGAATACAACTCTAATGTCATCAAAGCTGCAGACTTCAGCTTCTTTAATCTCTACAAAGAAGTGGTGAACAAATCCCACAAGGCTGAAGCTCCTGTCTTTGAGCACATTGAGCTCTCTGAAGCTGAATGGGAGCATGAAGCGGATATTGTGGTGGGCTTTGGATTCAGCCCAATCTAGCACCACCTTCTGGACACACAAGGTTTTACCTATGCCTGCCACTCCTTTCGTCAGCATTGTCCTCACCAACTGGCCTCCACAGGGAGAATTCCCAAACATTTCCTGACATTTTACAGTCTTGTACCGGTGTTTGCGAGCGTCAGTTTGTATCTGGTGAACCTCATGTTCAATGTCGACGCCCGCATTGTTGCCCTCTGTGATCCATAGGTCTGTGTAGATCTGACTGAGGTCAGTTTGGTGTCCGGCTTTACTGACCCCCTCAAAGACAGACTTGTATGTCCTCTTCAGTTTGGATTTCAGTTTTGATATGCATTTCACAGCTTTAGTCCCTTAGAAAATAAAACAGAATAAATTCTGTCACAAATGTGCAAAAATATCTTAGGACATAATATGTAAAATCATTTGAATATAATACAGATTTGACACAAAACTGTTATCTACAACAGGTAACAACTTCTCTCTCAAAAGTGGACCCACACAGCGGACCCCTGTGTGAGGCTTTTGTTTATAATGCTAACAAAGAAGATGTTGAACTCTATACCAGTTTTGGATTCATGAGGATAGGCAAAGTAATTACAGAGATATTAACCATGAACCAGACCAACAAATCTGCCATCTGACCACTGAACCAGAACTGCCAGCCTCCAGTTCAAATTTAATCTATAAGAATCCTACAATGGGGTAATGATACATGAACCCAACCTGTTGTTTCACTGTAGGTATCATTCCCCAGAAGAGAGCCCCCCACTTACGACTGAGCAGACACTGTGCCAGGTTGTTCTGGTTCATTTTTCGAAGGAAGTGTGTGGACAGGTGAAGCACTGCCTCTCTGCTGCTCTTTGTGTCCTCATCCTCATCTTTACTCATGCTCTCCTCTGGGTCAGTGTACATCTCTTCACTTAGAATCCTGTCTAAATGATTCAGTTCACTCTCCAAAAATGCTTCAATAGTCACTTTGAGCTCCTGCAAAGTTCAGACCACAATTAATATCACTAAATATATAAGCTTAGACATACCTTAACATATCTTCTAGCAAATTCAGAGCTGTAAATCCATTAATTGTTTTCAAAATACCCACCTTCATGATATGACTGTGTGATTTGTGATGACTGAATTCTGATCTGTGCTGGTCACTGCCCAAAGAAGACATTCGAGGCTTTGAAAGGCTGTGCCACAAATGGGAAAATGAAACACCATTGGTCCTATGGGTAAATTTTGTGCTGACAGCAACATATATTATCATCACCTTTTTGTCTGATTTAAACCGATGTCAGACCTGACCTCAAGTGACTGCGTGTTAGATTTGAAATCATTTCGATGCTCCATGGACCAGTCACTCCTTAGAGAGACGCAGCTTTCTTCAGAGGTGAGTGCCCCTTGTTGGATCCTGCAGAATAAAACAAGAAGCACAGCAACTTGGTGAACATGATATTGGCATTGACTATAAAGTTTAAAATAAGAATTTACACTCATACCTTTCATTCACTGAGTCCAGATCCTGGTTCAAATCTTTGGACACACCTCCTGGATCTGAGGATGTGGGCCTGGGGAAACACAGAACATGACTGCATCTTTATTCATTACAAACTTTGGCCTATATTGTTTATTGTTTATTTATTTGGATCCTCTTTAGCTGTCACCAAATTGGCAACTACTCTTCCTGGATTCCTACTCAAAAATACTATGCTACAAAACAATTTCGATACATTAAAAATACCATATCACATGTACAACCAACCACTGGGCTTTATTAGATTGTTCAATCAAGAGAAAAATCTTCAACAAAAGGCTTCCCTACTGTTTTTGAAATGCGATTAGGTGTGCCATGGAGCGGTCACTGCGCGTGCTCACACAGTTGATGGCTGGACCGAGAGCCCCCTGCTGCTCCTCCATCGTGCCGGTGAATGGTGTCCCTTTGGTCAAAGCAGTGTCACCAAGGCCCATAAAAATCTGCCCGCCATTACTGAAACTCAGAAAACACCAAAGATGTTTAGGCCTATAGGTTTAAAGTGAAATCTGACTCTTATTTCTATGTTTAAATATAAAACAGGTCCTCCCAGAAACACAGCAGTTTGTAGAAAAATATGTTCAAAATCTCATAATTGGCATAATTACGAAGTTAAATCTAAAGAAGCTGGGTATACTGGAGCTATTTATTTGAAATTATTTTTGACGTAAATGTAAAAGAAAATTTTGAAGTTACTGTAACTTTTTGTCTCTATCAGGGTTTAGAGATTTCAACTGCTCAAAAAACATTTAAACTACTACAGACTCTATTTGTGTGAATAAATTTTGATTAAATTTAATTAAAAGTCTTTAAGTAGTCAAAATAATGCATAATGTAAAATGTTCTGAAAATATTTTTCAAGTACTGTCCCATCTTTTTGTCAACTCCGGCAGTCATTTTCAAAAACCTAATTAAATCAGGCACTAATACAATTATCTAAGTCCCCGAGGGTCCTATTTGATATTCTTACTCACACACACAGCTTGGGCACTTTTACCCTTTTTCATATTTAAGGCAAACGGTGTTAAAATTCCTGCTGTCACAGCTGTAAAGTGTCAACTCCATCAGTACATTCTTACACATTTATTTAAACAGTTCTGTTGTGAGTCTAAGCCTTGAGTGATGCCATCATGGCAGCTAACACATGGAATAAAAATGCACTAGCTACAGTGTGCCATCTATGTTTTATAAGGGAAAAATCTGCATTTGACCTCTGTCAGACATGAATCTGACAGAACTTACACTTTGCTGACGGAATTGACAAAACCACCTGTAGCCTTTAAATGTGCTTAAAAATCGGTTAAATTACCATTTCACAGTTTAAGTTTGATACAATACACTTTAATACAGCCAAAATTGCAGAAATTATAAAGTCAAGTGAAAATGTGTGACAGAGTTGACAAAAATGTATCAGATGAGAGTAGGGATGGGCATGATTAATCGATTAATCGATAATTGATCATTAAGAATTTCATCGATTACGTTAATTTTAATCGATAAACCGAATGTAGGTTGCTGTGCATAGCGTGACCAAACAGGGGTCTGTACATGTGTCTCTCTGCACTCAGAAGGAGCGAGCAAACAGAAACAGTAGGTCAGCCTGCAGCGTGCCGAAGCACAAATGCGTATTTAACGATGATTTGTACAAGAAATTCCACGCTTTCTGTTGCGTTCGGGACAAGTGTGAGTCCATGTGCACAGGTTACAAAGCAGCACATATGTTTCGGTGTCCAGTGGGAAAAAGTTTTACCAGGTGAGAGTCGCGCAATGTCGATGACGAGTCCCCACCTCCCACCTCCCGTACGGTGTCCTGGTTTTGACAAACGCAAATCTGGTCACACAAACCTGTATTCCACTGAATCATGTCTTTTAATCCGACAGAAATTGACCGCATCAGCGACACAAGAGCTGTAGTTTTATCTTTGCTTAGTTTATGCAAATTAGCGATGCGGTTTTAAGTTTCGTTTCTGTGAGAGTTGCGCAAAACTGAATTAAACACATTATAATCTCAAACGGATTGATGTGGCTCTAGAGTCGTTACGGTTTATATGTCGTAAAGTTGAATTTATTTATGCAGATTAGTAGTGCAGATAGTAATAATAATGATGATCATTTTAATATAAAAACGTTAATGATTAATCGATAATTGATCGTTAATTCTTCCGACGATCGATTAAGAAAATTTCATCGAATGCCCATCCCTAGATGAGAGGGAATGGAAACACTGGAGGAGCATTGGAGAAGCAGAGGAGGGTGGATGCAGATAAGAGAGGAGGGGTCGAGGGAGGAGGCAGAGTGGACGTTCCTCTTCTAGTGAGTTTGGAGGTTGGACATATTTGATCAGTTGTCACCAGTATTCACACATTTTGTCAACTCAGTCAGGTTTTTGTCAACTTCGTCAGATCCATGCAAGGGAGTTTGGAGGGAGTTTTTGTCAATTTGTAAAGAAACTTGAATTTTGAGATTGAGTCTATGTGGTTTAAGTAGTAAAAGGAATTCCTGTCTGTGTTAATTATTTCCAGAAATGTAGGGGAGACAGGGGCATGTTATCACACTTTCTTTATTCCTATCTCTGTCTCAGAAACTGAACACGACAGTTTTTGAGAAAAAAGGCAGTGTGACAACATGCCCCAGTCTCCCCTATGTTATAAAATTAAATATTTTTTATTTATTTATTTTATTTTTATTTTTTTTAAGGAAATTGAGATATTATGAAACTTAAAGACTGTAAAAAGTGGACTAAGTCAGTGTGACGTCACCCAAAGCCTTCAAGCGCCACTCAAAAGAAGCTCGCGATGTTATACCTTGGATCTATAATAACATTTTATTATAGTTCTGTTAAGGTGACCAGATTTTCAAAATCAAAAACTGGTTTGTGGTGGTTGGTAAATATAAAAATGTGAAACGAGTGCATAATGGGTGGAGAATTGTTCTGCACTTGACCAATTCATAACTAACGTATTTTTGTATTTTACCTAGATAAATGACAATTTATGCCTCTTTTTACTGTTAGCAGGGAACATATTGGTTCAAAACAGGGACACCTGGGACATTTCTTGTATAAAACTGGGACAAATCACTGGTTTTGTACAAATCAGCTGGGACAGGGGACACAGGGCTCAAAACTCAGACTGTCCCGGGTAAATAGGGACATCTGGTCACTTATTCTATGCGCTATACAATCTACGGTACCGCTAGGACCTCACTCTACGAAGATATACAGCTCTCGTGAATATAAAATGCTTAAAAAATAAAATAAAATCAAAACCTGTTTTGTTCTGACTCTCAAGAATCACTGAAATATAAAATGGAAAATATATTAGACTCACAAAATAACATAATGACTTTACCTGTACTCCACGATGGAAGAAAAACTCAAACAAGTTCACTGCAGACAACCCGTTTTTCTGTCCATGTAACGAAAAATAAGGCTGCCTTCACCGTGTTTTGCCTTTTCATTTCCAGTAAATGAAACTGAAAGTAAAATAAAATCAAAGGTTAATGAAACAACTGCGCCATCTAGATTGGGATTTTTCTTTTTTGGAAAGCAGAGCAGAATTTTGATCTACTGTGAATGATATTCTCTAGAGAGAATTAATAACCCTTCTAAATCTGTATCTTAAATAAATTAAGAATTGCTTTTTAAATGTTGGTAGGTCAATGCATAATTTTAAAAAGCAAAACCATAAAATTCTGGTTTGAAAATATGTAAATTCCAACAAAGACAAAGAAACATAATTCTTAGATCTTAAGTGCATTTATTTGTTGTGGAGATGTAACATAAACTATATAAAAATACAAGGATCCTGTCTGACCTTTCACAGACTCAAGATCTGTTCATAAAAGTCACAGACCTGCTCCTCACTGTGATCATACAGCAGGTACACATACCATACAGTTCAATTAACGCACAACACGTTCACACAAAAATAGAAAAACATACACTTTTATAATATTAAATAAAATGTTAAAAGGGTGCAAAACTATTGACTGTGTCGCACAGTGATAAGCTTTAAACAGTGTGGATGTACATGCGTCACAGCTGCACAGGCCTAAAACAGGTGCTCACAATTTCTTAGAAGAAATAATTTGTGCACCTCTGCAAACATCCAAACAGTTTTGGCCACAGAAAAGTTAAGTTTGAGTTAGTGTGCAAGACAAAAATGTTTTTAATCATTAAAAAAAGAAAATATGTTAATAGTTTGAGTGAAGTAGAAGAAGAGTGAAGTGGAATAAATTTTCATGGGACACAAATGTGCTGAGGTTGAGGACAGCCAACAGGGCCAGACCCAGAGGAATGTGACTGACTCTCCTCCCTCACTTGGGGCTAGTGTGCTACAGTCCTGGGGCCTTCAGACAGTGAGCTGTGGATGATGCTGCGGATGGATTTGACCCCTGGATCCTGAAGGATGGAGCGGTGGTCCCCCTCAATCACGTGCACTGATACAGGGCCGTCACACACCTAAAACACAAAATACCACTCATAACTAACAGACCAAAAGTAATTAATGGATTTATACATGGAAGTTATTTTGACACTGCTTCCTAATCATGTGTAAAACTAACTGTTGATACAAAACTTTGAATAGCTTAAGCATGCCGTCAGGACATTTAGAGGTTTTCTTACTTCGTGAAGTTTGTAGTCTGTTCCTAGACTCTGCTCATACTGACTGCTGCTTTCAGCCCGCAGTAACACTATCCTGCCATGAAACTTGGTTTTGGGCAGGTAACTGTCAGCAGCCTTGAGTTTGTGGTAGAAAGCTGTGGCACCGAATTGCAAAGCGTCCTGGCTCAGGTCCCTTTGGCTGGAGGTGATGAGGTTCACAGCAGAGGCCACACGAGCATCCAGGTCAGAGAGGGGCAGCAGAGTCTCCACCAACTGCCAAAACCATTTATAACGTGTTACAACTAAGATATAAATATACATATATATATATTTACAAATCTTACAATGCACTAGTATGGTAGGTTTAAATACCTTATTGTACTCTATTCCAATGAACTGCTGTATGAAGGCACACAGCGCTTCAGTCTCAGCCTCAGACTCTTTATCTGGGGTAAGTTTGGCTCTGTAGCTCTGAGGAACAAAATAGTAAAATAAAATCTTCATTGTACTATTACACTGCACATTATTATTAGTATCTGCTATGTTTTTGTATACATGTTAGTCCTAACCTGTGTGTATGCTGCTACGTATGAGTGTGAGCCATCCAGCAAAAACAGACACTCTACAGTGGAGCCTTGGGCCTGCATCTGACAGCACATTTCAAAGGCCACACAAGCTCCAAACGAGTATCCAGCCAGTCGATATGGCCCCTCTGGCTGGAGGTGCCTCATACAGGATACGTAGTAGGCTGCCAAGGACTGGATGCTTTCCAGAGGGGCAGCTGGCGATAAAAAAAACACCATAAGTGCATGAACATTAAAAAAAAAAAAAACACTATGGTGATAGGCGCTTGTACCAGAGGTGCACTGCAGGCCGTAGCAGGGAACACCCAGCTCAGAGGCCAGGGTCCTGAAGGCAGACACAGTGCCCTCAATGGGATGCACCAGAAACAAGGGTCTCTCCTCATTCTGCACTGAGTTTACTGCTGTCAGTGTGGGGCCCTCAGGGTCCACCAGCAGCCCACTGATGTCAGAGCCCAACACAGAGACAAGCTCTCCCTTGGACGCATCAGGTACATCTGCAACATACAAAGACAATCAATGAGTTGTTTAGTTCCTTACCACCTTATCTTACAAAAAAAACATTTTTTTTTTATATCCCAAACACATATTTTTAGGGTATAGCACCAGTCACCGAATCATATTTTAAATACCTGATTATCACTGCTAAAATAATATAATTTTTTTTTTTCCAAAAATAGTCATTTTAAAGATAAGGATTTGAAATGAATAGTTCAATTATTGTGCACCAATGGAAAATTGAGAAAAACCTTTTGCAGTGGACCCCTTGCTGTGAGCCAGTTCACGCAGTTTGTTGATGGTTAGCTGTCGAATGTCCCTCATCGACATAACAAGGTCATAATCTCGCTCCAGGGTCTGGCGAACTTCCACGCCCATCAGAGAGTCCAGACCCAAGTCTGCCAAAGTGGCCTCTGCATTTAGGCTGTTCACATCACGCACACCTAAAACATGCCAGTGATTAACAACTCTTTGCACATGTATTAATTTCACCATATTTTAAATGGAGACATGGGGCCATACCAAGAATGTGCGCTACAGCCTCCACCAGGTCAGCCTGACCCCCAGACTCGCCTTTGACCACCATGCGCTCCGCTAGCACAAAGCTGGACGTGACTGGTTTTCCTAGGCACAGGAACAGGTCCAGCACTTCTAAACAGGAGGTAATGCGTTGAGGAAGAGTGCCCCCAATCACTGTGTCATTGTCTCCCATAGTCTCCAGCACCACGCCCACATCCCCGATGGCCCCCCACTGCACGGCTAGGCCTGGCAGGCCATCTCTGTGCCGCTTTTCGCACACACGCTCCATTGCAGAGTTCGCATAGCCATAGTTACTTTGCCCAGCATTACCACGTCCACAGCTCACAGAGGAGAAAACCACAAAGTAGCTTAACTCTGGACAGCTTTTCCGTGTCACACTGAAACAAAAATAATGTATATAATGTAATAGTGTTCCTATCAAACCCCATATCATGAAAGAAGAGGTTCCAATAGCAACATACCTGTCTAAGTTCAATGTTCCATCATATTTAGGTTTGTTGACCTCCATGAAGTGCTGAGGCGTTAGATTCTCCAACATGCCGTCTCTGAGAACCTGATCAATCAGAATCGTAATGAGAACAGAAACAGTGACCCAAACCCTAATTAATATATATATATATATATATATGAAATAAAAGTATATGCACAGGTGTATGTGTATTATTACCATGGCGAGGTGGAAGACCCCTCCCACAGGCCCCAGTGCCTGAGCTTCACTGATGAGTTGCTCAGATCCTTTGACAGTGGACACATCACTCGTTGACACCAGCAGCTCCACGCCCTGAGCCCTCCAATCCTGCACTCGCTTCACCTGGTACCCTGCACCCAGATCAAAGAGCATTTATAGAATCTAAAGTTTGTGACCTATAAAGTAGCTCATCCTGCGTTACTAGGAGTATTTGTGATCTGTGTGGTCTTACCATTGCGAATGCCTGATCTGGAAGTCAGAACTATTTTGCGGGCCCCTCTTTCCACAAGCCACTGTGCCAACTCTAGTCCGAAGCCCCCCAGGCCCCCAGTGATGATGTATGAATGGGAAGGGGAGCAAAATGTCCGGCAAATGGCTGGAAGAGTCAAGAGGGGGCTGACTAAGGAATCCTGTTCCTCACGGATCTAAATTAAAAAAATACATTTTTACCTAAAGTATCAGAATAAACCGTATACCAGTTCATGTGTCACTTTTCATTTACTTTACCTTGAGCAGTACTTTGCCGATGTGCTTGCCCTGGGCCATGAATCTGAAGGCCTGCTCCACTTGTTCTTTTTCAAACACTGTTGTTTTTAGAGGTTTTACTACACCTCTCAGAATCCCCTCCTCTAGCAACTGGGATACCTCCTCCCACTCGGGGTTGCCCTCCTCGAACAACGCGTCCAGCAGGATGCCATGGAAGGTCACATTCTTCAGGAACACAGCCATACCTGAAAGGCAATTACCCCATTTATCATGCCACAAATAATTCAATTCAATTCATGTTTTGTAAAGTTCTATTTGTAGCTGTGCAAACCTAAGGGGGAGTTGTTGGACAGGTCATATTTCCCGATCTCCAGGAATCGTCCATGGCGAGCGAGGCACCGTACACTGGCCTGCAGCTTCTCCTCCGCCAGGGAGTTCAGCACCACATTCACACCTGAGGCACAAGACAACATCACATCCAAGTCCTGCAGCAGGAACAGATTTGAGGCACAAAGGAACAGTAAAGCTCACCTTTGCCCTTTGTGTGGAGGAGAACGTGCTGCTCAAATGATGCATCTCTGGAATTGGCAAAAGACTCACTGGAGAGCTCTGGGAACCGCTGTTGTAAGTAGGCCTGTTTCTCTGCTGAGCCTACACACAAAATGTTACATCCCTTTATGTTAAAACAAATTCCTATATGTCTAGTATTCATTACTCTTATTATCACAGACACATTCTTACCGACTGTGGTGAAGACTTTGCACTTCTGGCTCAGTGCTATGGCGATGGCCGCTTGTCCAACCCCCCCAGAACCGGAGTGGATCAGCACACTTTCCCCATGTCGCAATCTGCCTCTCACCACCAGGGAGTAGTACGCTGTGGCATACACCACGGGCACAGAAGCTGCCTGCTCCAGAGTCCTGCCAGGAAAGTCGGTCTAATGATGAGTATTTATTATAATGCTTCCAAAATATTGCAGATGTGTAAAGATCAGTATGTATAACATGCTGACTAAGACTAGGACCAGTTCTCATGTCGTTGCATGCATTTCCATTGAGTTTAATGTTAATGTTTTCTCACCAGTTTGAGGGAACACTCCAGAGGAACCGCTTGTCCGCACTCACACATGTTGCCAGGCCATTTGCTGGGAGCAAGCCCATAACTCTCTGACCATTTTGGTCTTGACCTGAGAACTCCATCCCCAGCAGGCACTGCTGAAGGGCTGCATCACCTACATTCATCAAAAAATTATCATTCTTCTGTGTGTACTTGTGTGTGTTAATACAGGGAGACAGTATGAACAGTAAGACTGTACCTGGAATAGCATCTGGAGGCAGTTTTCCTGTAGCTAACATGACGTCTCTGAAGTTCAGAGAGCTGTAGAAGACGCTGCATAGCTCTGAGTTTTTGTTGGAAGGTTTAAAGTGCTTGAGGGGAGAGGCGATCCAGCACAGAGAAGACAGGTCCCCTCGAGTCAGCACATTCACATAGGCTTGTTGAGTCTGTTCCTCTCTGTGGGCTTAAGAAACACACATCCATTAGACTTAATGTGACCACACATACAGGCTCATAGCACAGTCAAGTAAGTACCATTGGTGAGGAGCTGGTGTCGGAAGGCTCCCCACTCACCATCCCTCCACACATTCATCACAAGGTCTTTAGACAGCAGCGACTGCATTTCTTTTTCAGATGGAACAAGGCTCGGTATCACAGATGACTCATCCAGATTTGATATGAAAGCACAGCTGCAGAAGAGAAGGAAATAAGACCACTCTTTGGAATATGAAGGTAGAAAGGTAGATATGTAATAATGTTCATTAACATAAACATACCGGATGCGATTGCCTCCAGGTTCCTGGCGCAGGCAGTTGACCAGTCCCACTACACCACAGTGAGGCTGAGAGGCAGTAAGCCAAATGGGGCTTTCTGAAGATGTAGATAGCAGAGACTGTAGAGAAATTACCTTGGTTAGATAACTGAATGATGAGCCTTGGACAAAATGTTTCATCAGAACTAACATACTTTGAGAGTCTCCACCCAGTTGTAGGATGTATCATCCACAGATAGAAATACAGGGTCTGGAGATGGAATGCGGTGGCGACAGAGGAATAGAGCTGAACCAAAACAGGATGTCCAGACACTGACCAGGTCCAGAGAGGCCTCCAGAATACACCTCTCCCACTTAGCCTGTAAAATACCAGCCACAATGAAGATATCTTGATATTGTTTTGCACAATGTTCTAGTCAGTGTCAAATAAATGAACTTTACAGAACTGATTTACTTAAAATGTTTTGTATTTTGTATTTTTTCAGGTCCACAACACAGTACTGCATTAAATATAAACCCCAGAAAACACTGACCTGTGAAATAAGTCCAGCCACGGTCCCACTGTTGGTGGTTCTACATAGAAAGGCCAGGGTCTCCCCCAGGGTGCCCCCCTTTAGCAGCACATGCAGCAGGACAAACCCCCCCACTCTGGTCCCAGAAACAAGGTTCGATACAAGCTGCTCTGGTTCACTCTGCAAAAGGCCCCAGTGGTTACAGAGCAGCAGGTCTGCGGCCCCGGCAGTAGCACCTGGGGCGGGGCTTGTCCGAGGGTCCCACTGCACTGAGCCCAGCCCAAGCTCCTCCAGAGTGTCAGTAAAGGGGCTCAGGAGCTCAGTGTGCACCGCAGTAGCAGTGTACTCCACTTGTAACATGGGCTCAATGTTGAGAAGAGATAATGCATAAGGGAATAGTTGACCCTCATCAGAGAATGCCTACACACAGGCAGAAAAAGTCAGCACCTTGCATTAAAGGCAAAAGATGTCACTTTACATATTCAGATGAATTACTGTGGTCACTGACCTCAATCACCCTGAGTTTTCCAGGCCTGCTGTTCTCCAGAGCAGAGTCCAGGCAGTGTCTGAAGGCAGCGTCCCTCAGCAGGCCTTGGATTAATGGGTCACGGAGCAGACAGGCCCTCTCCCTCTCCACCAACTGCTGCATCTCAGACTCTAGGTTCCCGTTTAGCTCCAGAGCACACAAAAGTGTCAGGAGCCGTGGCAGGCCTCCTTCAGAGGGTACAGAGCTGGGTATGGGGCTGACCGGCACACCCTCTACACCTGGTATGTTCAGTCTCACACCATGAGGTTTCAACTTTAACTGCAGATTTCGAATCAACCCTGAATATAAATATTTTATACTTATTATGACCATATCCAGTGACTAAAATGTTGGTAAAATTATTACAGCTTTTCAAATTAAATCATCTGGAATTTCACCAGCCAAGTACCTTTGCAGAAATTCAGCTGGTCTGATAGGTGTTTGTTCTCTTTCAAGCACTCTGTTTTCATGTAGGGAACAAAGCAGAAATCTTCCAGAGTGGGAGCGTTCTGCTGCTGCTGTCGACGAGGGGCCACTGTAGCATGGAGCCCACTGATCTGGACTCCCCCAGCCACAATCATATCCACACAGTGATCTACACTGATGCCCACAGCTGTGTCAGAGAGAAAATGCATTATTTTACATTGGGTCTCAAACATAAAAGTCACCCTAGAAAAGCGTAGGAATTATATATAAAAAAATAAATAAATGAATAAATGTTTGACTTTTTAAAACATTATAAATATGTTACATTGCTAAATTACTGAGTGCTAGGGTCCACATTGCAGTTAAGGTGATCTGTTCTTTTTCAGTTAAGTATGATCACTAATTGGCCATTCACTGCCATTAAAGGGGCTAATGTCTATAAAAATTGTGTTCACAGGCATCATTCAAGAGACTATGATGTTGAAACCAAATCCGTCAGCACTAACCCTGTTTATTATCTGCATATTGCCACTGCTTCTCCATGTGGGCTTGTGGGTTGATTTGGACAGAGCGGATCCTGGTGGGGAGACGCAGGCTGCGTCCAGGCAGACCCAGCACGATCATTTGTAACATAGTGTCCAGGAAAACCACCCAGTTCCCTGTCCACTGCAGCGCTCCCCTGTCCCCTGACAATCACAGCTCACATTTAACACAGTAAGTTATAATAAACAGCAAGGATAACATAGTTTTGTCTATTATGATCCTGGTTTATCACAACCCAATAACTGTACAAGATGTTAACTTTGAATTTGGCCATATCTCAAACGTAGTGACTTGATAAAATCTACCTGCAATGTTTGACTCTAAAATTCCTTGGAAGGTCTTTCCATAGTCGTAGCCACGCAGTCTGAGCTCTTTGTAAATGTCTGAGGCCTTCAGCTTCAGTTTGGGGTCACTCTCAATTTCGTTGGCTGACATTATGTGGTGACCCAGTGAATGAAACTCTGTGTCCTCTGGGAGTTTCACTTTGCCTAGAAATAAAAAGATGAGATTGAGCATCCCCAAGAAATAGAGTCCTTGTGCTCTAAACTAAACTGCATACCGCTAACTGTCAGGTTTCCATTCTCAGACACTTCAAATGAGTGAGTGGCCGGCATGAGACGCACCTCCAGCTGCACAGAACCTGACAGGACAGAACACATCAGCATCAAACGAAGTGTGAGGAAGTCGACCACTCTAGTGTCATATTTCCTCACCATTTGGAGGAAGAATAGTGGCTCTGTGGATGGCCACATCTTCAAATGTGACAGGTGTGGTGTCTAGAACCATCCCCAAGCTTTTGACCAAGGTTCGCCAGGCTAAGACCAGGTAACCAGTCGCTGGGAACAGGACTCTACCATCAATGCAGTGGCCAAGCAAGTAGTGGTCAGGAGATTCAGGGTTTATGTCTGTTTAGTAAAAAAAACATTAAGATATAAACAATACATTTATTAAAAAAGAAGTTTAAATTAAATCAACTGGAGTTTTTTGCCTCTCATTCAAGGGCCTTCGTACATTCTGAAACAACTCTTTTTTATAACATTACCAATGTTATAGATGATTGCAGAATTCGATGCTCCAGAGCTAAAGGAGAAGTCTGCAGCCTTAGGAACATCCCAAGTCTGGGCGTGATCCCACTCCACCAGAGGTGAGAGGAGAGGCGTCCCAACTGGTACGGGGTAGGGGGTATGTGGGCTCAACTTGTTACAGTCCACATTGATCCTGTACCAGGGTGAGAACATTTCAACATATGGACAATGATGCATAACAGTGATATGGAGTCCCTATGTCATTTGAATGGTGACCTACCCGTTCATGTAGACTTTGCCGATGTTGGAGAGGAAGAAGTTGAGGTTGTTGACATGGCCTCGTTTCATCAGTGGAATGATGGTGCAGGTGTGTTTGAGGCTGCGCTTCAGGATAGCCTGTGTACACATAAACATGCTTTTGTCAATAAAAACATCTCAACATGACACTCCATTCAATAAAAAATATGCTGGCAGCAGATATACTTTCTTATGGAATACAGCTCTATCATGCAATAAAATGCAATATGAAAAGCAAGAAATCAAAGTGAAATGTCTATCCAGGAGTGCTGTACCTGCAGCAGAGCGTGAGGGGCGATCTCCAGCACCACTGCATCCTCTGGCACCATGCTCAGCCCCTCCTGAAAAAGCACTGGGCTTACCAAGTTATTCACATGGTACTCTGCTGAGCTGGACAGGGCCAAAGGAGAGTCCCAGGCAGACTGAGGGATACTGGTGCTGATCCAGCGAGGAGAGCGCGGCCGCGGCTGCCTGATCACCTACACAAACACAACCCAAAGTCAAAATAACAACAGACAGTGATACAAAACAAGTAAATGTTAAGGGTCTCCACCTTCTTCAAAGCAGCCAGGAGAGCTGGAGCTATGGATGCCATGAAGTATGAATGGAAGGCCACGCCAGCACTGCGCACTTCTTTAGCAAACACTCCTTTTTCTTTGAGCTCCTGGACAAACTGGTGGACTGCATCCTAATAACACACACTGCATGTTTAATAACAGATTTCAAAGCTTAGTACCATGTAAAATCTATAGAGGCATGAACCTGGGGCCCAGAGATCGTAACTGTGTCCTCAGCATTGTGACAAGCAGGAACCACTCCCTGCGGACACTGAGCCTTACACTCCTCCCATGTCAGCCCTACAACACATAGGCAATATTAGACTGGCCTGCTGCTGAATAATTCGCAGGGACAATATAGTAGATATCTGTGGAAAATGAACAAACCTACCCACAGCAGCCATGCCTCCAGGGGGTAGGCTGGCCTCTTTGATACAACGCCCCCTCCAGTAAGCAGCCAGAACAGCTTCTTCCTGACTGAGGGAACCGTCTGCGTAGCCACAGGCCAATTCTCCCACAGAGTGACCCACAATACCATCAGGCTGCAGGCCAATCTTTTTCAACAGGTCAATCTGGGCAATCTAAAAGAATGAACAAATCATTAATGCAAAAAATCAGTATGAAATAAGATGCAGCTGGAAATTCAACTACCAACCTCAATAAGAACTCATTCCCTAGTGTACACAATGTGAGAAAGTGGTTAATCTTGGTAAAATTACCATAGTCCGTTTGTACCTGAATAGCTGCGAGACCAACAAAGGCATGGATCGTGTCTTCAAAAGTGTCCTCTGTGGCTTCCATGAGCATCTGTGATATGACCAGCCCAGTGTCCTTTAAGGCTTTGTCTGAGCGTAGGATGGAGTCTCTGAAGTCAGGCAGCTGCATGAGGCTTTGGCCCATCCCAGCCCACTGGGTCCCCATACCTGTAACAGGGTGTCATATCTTATATAAGAGCACTAGGAGAACTGTGAATTAAATGCTGTACAATTATAGATAAAATAGTACAGCATAACACAGATTAAGACATTTCAGCTGTCAACATCTAGCTCACACTTGTAATATGTACAAATGTTTTGTATTTTACAGGCCAATGATGGCTAAAAGCAAATGACAAACATGATAAGTACTTAGTAACACAGTCCACAGTGCCAGTGCCACAGTGTTTGCACTTTATAATATGCTTTGCTACCAGTATACAATATGACATTATAACAATATTACAAAGCAATAATTATTACTCCTGGCTCTTAAAGGATCAATGCTCTATAGCACTAAAATGGTACCTGAGCAGATGTACCAGATTGGGCGGTTGGTAGATGGTGCTGCCTGGACCTCAGTGATGTTTGGCTCTGAGCCCAGCACAGTGTAGCCTCTGAAGGTCATGCCAGGTGCCATGGAAATATCTGTGAGTAAAGACAGGAAGCTGTGGTCCTCAGAGTGCTGCTGGGCTTTCTGCAATAGGACCCTGACAGCCCCCTCTGTGCGTCCACAGGCAGGAACCACTCGTGCTACACTCTTCACACTCTCCTCTCTTCTATAGTCGTTTGGACGAAGAATTACGTGGACATTTGAACCGCCAAACCCAAACGAGTTGACTCCGACAATTCCACCTTTGACTGGAATTGGCTGGTCCACGACTCGGACTCTCCCGTCTGTGAGAGCTGGAATGTCAGGGTTAGGATTAGAGTAGTGCAGATTTGGAGCCCACATTCCTCTCTCCAAAGACAGCACCACCTGCACATAAAACATCACAAAAAATATTCATAACAAGGTTGTAAGTGTTAAAGTGTAAAACGAAGAGTAAGTCTGTGGAGTAAGTGTACCTTTGCCAAAGCAGCTAAACCTGAGGCAGGTTCAGGATGACCCATGTTGGACTTGGTTGAGCCTATGAGCAAAGGTTCTGTTCTTTTCTCACAGAACACGCCCACAATGCCATTCACTTCTTGTGGGTCACCAACCTGTAATAAGATGATCTATTACAACACACAGTATGAAATTCCTTTATTTGATGAGCAACAGAAAACAAAATTTCATGGTATGTTATATAAAAGAAATGTTTTTAAAAAGTTTTGTATTGTACGCGTCTACATTACCTTGGTGCCAGTGCCATGAGCCTCTATGTACTCCACTTGCTCTGGGCTAATCTTGGCCTCTTCATAAAGAGTGCTCACCAGCTTCTGCTGCATTTGCCCTGAAGGGAACGTCACCCCTGATAGAGAATGAGGCCAAAGACATCAGTTCATGCTTAAATGTCTGCCCCCATCCCCCAGTTTTTCCTCATAGACCGAGGACTTACCCTGCTCTTTGTATCCATCTGTATTGTTTCCTGCATTGACCACTGTGGCATAGATTCTCTTTGCCACTGAGCGCTTAGTTAGCAACACAGCTACAGCTGCTTCTGAACGGCAGTATCCATTTCCTGTTTGCGAAAATAGGAAAAAAGGCTTTTATGTCTTCTGCTATGAAGTCATTCAATACAATCATTAATAAACCCTTGAATATAGGTGTATTTTTCACTGGATTCTGTATTTGCACTTGGAATGACAACTGCACTGGATATGGCAATTTATAGAAATGGGTCATATTGATTTTACATACTGTATATATTTTGGAGACAGTGTGAAAATACTAATATGAGTGAAGAAGCCATCCACATTTGAAGTTTTATTTACCTGAAGCATCAAAGGACTTGCAGGTCCCTTCTGGACTGAGCATGCCCAGCTTCATAAACTGAACTGAGGTGTTGGGTTTGAGCAGCAGGTTGACTCCACCAACTAGCGCTGCATCACACTGACCCAGACGAATGGCATGGAAGGCATTTTCTAACGCCAGCAAACTGGAGGAGCAAGCTGTGTCTATGGCTGTGCTTGGACCTTAGGAGGGCAGAAAGGGTGAGCCTAGTGTTGACTGCTATGAAATATTAATCACATTATAGTCTGTACCACTGAAGTCAAAGAAGTAAGAGAGTCGGTTAGCCAGCATGGCACGTTGGCAGCCGGTCATGCTGTAGCCCAACAGCTCCTCTGGGTCTCTGCTGAAGGCCTCACCTGCCTCCGAACCACTCACCCCGATGTACACCCCTGTCTTAGTGCCCCGCAGTGAGGCCGGGTTCAGCCCTATTAGCGTCATAAAGTCAGACATTTATTTATTTAAAACCATTTTATAAATAAAATTTTTTTTTCATTATTTATCATGCTGGAATATTACCTGCATCTACAATGGCTTCATAGGCCACTTCAAGCATTATACGCAGCTGAGGGTCCATGGTATTGGCCTGTTTGGGGTGAACTCCAAAAAACACTGCATCAAAGTGGCTGATGTCTTTCAATTTGCCGTTTCTCTGTGGAAGGCCATACAAACCTAAAAACCAGAACAGTCCAGGTCAGGTTTAAATATGTTACTAATGAGTAACAAACAAACAAACAAGATTTTAAACATTAGCAGGACCACAGCAAGTTCAGGTGAGAACCTCACATCAGATATTGCTAGGGAGACCCTGTGAGTAAGTGTATTTCAAAAGAACATGGGCAGATGTGCTCTAACCTGGCTCCCAGCGTCTGTTGTCCTCTGTGACCATGTCCACGCTGCCTAGCAGATTTTCCCAGAACTCCTCCAGGTTGTTTGATTCAGGCAGACGGCCTGATATCCCAGATATGACAATATCCTCCATCTTAACATTGAAACAATACAAATCTGTCATCTCAGCACTTGTTTGTTCATTGATAAAACAAAACAAAGGTACAAATAAGAAGTCCAGCTGATACAATAAATAATTAAAGATGATATATAATTTCAATAAAGCATTACTGATCCCACAATGGGTATAAGTCAGATACTTGTTAGAGGATTTTAAATAAATGTGGAAGTGGATGGAAATATAGTGTCAGTCAATTTGACTCAGCCACAGCTGCTGTGGGGCTGAGTGATAAGAGTAAAGGATATGGCTATCAATGTTAATACAATTTCACATACAAATATTCACATACAGTTCACAGGTCACACACTGACTGTGACAACTGTCCCGCCTTAAAGACATTCATCATGGACAAATGCAGGCACTATGTAGCTACAAAGAATACTCTCACACCACATATGGTAAACACTGCAAGTTATTGTATTTAACAAATGAAACAACACATTTGTCAAATTAAATACTTCTGTCTTTCAACGTGGCCAAAATGGGTTTGGGTGCTGTACATTTGCCAGGCTTTGTGCCAGCCTCAGCTTTGTCAGATCCACTCTGTGGAGTATCTCTTCATCCACATTTCATGCTACTGACTTTCTTGCCAAATAAAGTCCATGAGCCAAATTATTTAAGTAATGTGAGACAAAAATACAAAACAAAAAGATAAAACAATAACAACTGATTATAATGGATATAATACTTTATTGCAATTTAAATCTTCACTTAGGGATGCAAAAGTAGAATTCATTGAGGCACAGAGAACTCCAGAGAACAATTCAGTTATGACTGAGTCATGATGAGCCTGCTGCCAGGACAGAGAACTGGAGTGTCCAGATTCAAGGCCCTGGCAGCCCTGATGTGTATGTCCAGATCTAGTAAGATTCTCTCAACTCATATTGGAATGTGCTTCCCAGTATTTCACTCTGTTCTCTCAAAGTCTGATCTATTCAAAGATAAATCATGCTTCTTTCCAGCACACCCCCCACAATAAGCTCACGCAACATGACAAGATGTGGCTTGTCACTGAGGTGCACTGCCATCACTGTGACACGCTCTAATTAAGCACTACTCATGGGGACACATACAAATAGGCTTTACAGTTGTCTCCTCGTTGGGACTTTTGGATGATGCTGTACTTTTTTCTTCAAAGTTAACATGATTCAGCCCATTAGAAATATTACTGGGAAATTTGTCACATGTCATGTTACAAAGCTGAACATAAGGAACAAATCATATTTATATTGTATTCTGAATTTTACCTCTTAACTGGTGTGGCCTGTCTCCATCACCCAGTGACCAGACTGTGGTAGGCTATCCATCCACTCCGCACCAATATGAAGCACGGTACAGAATGGCTTATGTACTTACTGTAATTGCAGCCGGTATCTTGTTGCTCAAGTTATTTTAGTTCCTGTTGGCATGTAGCGATCCGGTATGTGACTTAAGTTCGTTTGGAGGAGACCACGGGGACGGTCCGTGATAACGGAGTCTGGAGGTTGACGTCAGCCTCGGTGCTTCATTGAATGCGTTCTTCTCTGGAGATTTTAAATGTGCAAGTCCAGGCCGGGCCACGCCACATGGGCTGACAGCTTGGCTCGGCAGAGCAGTCCAATGAGAGCAGAGGCAGGGCTTTTGGATGCAGCGGCCGTCCGTGATTCGCTGCCTGCGCCTGTAGTCTGAGAGAGGAAGGGAAGCATTTTAACAAGAGGTTACTACAGTTCAAGTGTACTACAGCTTCAACGCTCATTTGAGTTGTCTTTTAGCATGGATTGCTTTCATATGATGCATTTAGTGCCTATATATTGTAGCTAACGCGTTATTACGCATGAATGAACGTTTAAAGAACGTCAAATTTTAATCTATGAAAAATTACAACAAAATATGCCTTTCGTTAAACCTCCCCGAATATATTTAGCATGTTATTGCCCTCAACACCCTCAATGTTGACATGGATTACACATTGAGATAAGCTGCCGAAAACAGTTGCCAGTATTGCGTAACTTTACCTTGAAAGAGCGCAGCACACACACGTGTTAACGCAATGTGCCTCACCCTGACTGACAGCCGAATAGGCCAATCACAGAGCAGAGGTGTGCGCGATAGTCCAATGACAGGGCAAGCTTTCTTTGCTGCGTGTAAGGTGATTAAGAGGCGGAGTTCAGCGGAGACACCCGGAGGGGTTACTGCGGTTCATGTATGCGCTTCCTACTGACCTACTGAAACGCAGACTGATCACTGTCTTTGACCTGCCAGTACTCAAACAGAGTCCCCAAATCTGGTGACGCAAGAACATGACAAGAAAGCGTGACAAAAAAGACTATTACTGCCATAATTTATTCATTCTAACAAAAAATACAAAATACAGAATAAAATTAAAAGGTTCCTTAAGATAAAAATAAGTGAAAATCAGTGATCAGCATTTATTCATTTCTGAAAGTAAGGCAAATCTCTGGCTGCAACAACACAGACTTAATTTGTGGTCACCAGAAATCAACTAGGCCTGTTATTATAATGGTCTCCTTTTGTGCATCTTCTTAGGTACTTTAATGATCTTTAACCTTCTGTGTGATCAGTCTTTAATGTTGTAGTTTCTGATTCTTGCAGATTTGGCAGTGTGTTTCATTGTCTCTCTCTTCTGTGGAGGTTTGGCTGTGGGCTGATTGTGGATGGGAGCACTCACCCCACACACCTCCATCTGAGCTCCCCCTGTGACCAGCCCCAAGGAGAGGACCTCTGGGTTGACTTCAGCAGGGTGTTGATTGTCTTCATTGTCTTCAGAGAGGTCTAGAGGAAAAGAGAACAATTGGAACAACTTTTCTTTTCATCCGTGATGTAAATTGTGTAAATTATTGACTTGACTTGTATTTGTTATTCACTTGCCACACAAAATTCAACAGACTCTGTACTATATTTTTCAAGAAGGCAAACAAATATGTAATAATATGTAATATGTATTTGTTTAAACCTTATCATTAGTTTTATATAAGATGCCAAGCAGTGCAATGCTTCCATGAAGTGGACTTAGTTGGGGAAAACGCTACAGCTTTTCTGTTTCTCAAACAAAAAGGTTCAAATTTAAGCATCAGACTCAAAGCACGCAATATGTAAAAATACCTTGTGAAGGCCTCTGGTCCAGAAGAGCCCAGAGGGCACTCAGAGAAGGCAGCGACTCTTCAGATTGTCTGTTAAGCTGGAATAGCTGGGAAGAGTAAGGAGGTGCACTCTGCAAAGAGAAAAAGTGATCCAAGCAAAGAATTGTGTATTTTTTTTTTTTTTTTAATGGGCCTGGGGTTATAGAAAACACCTCAGAACATTTTAAGATACATTGCAGATGAGGGTGAGATATGGACCTGAGTTGTGAGCAGCTCTGAGTCCACCAACACTTGTGATTCTTTCTCTGAGTTCACAGTCTTCAAATTGTTGGTGGATTCATGTAGTCTGTGGTTTCCTTTAATACTGTTACTCTGACTGATCAGTTCAGTGCAAACCTGAGAACGCAGGCGGTTACATAGCTCAGTTAACTGCTGTCGGTCTCTGTTCAAGCGAGCTATACGCAAGGCGGCCTGCTTCAGTCTAGATCGCAACTGAACCAATGCTGTGTTCTCTCTGCTGACACGGCCACAGCAGCACACACAAGATGACTTTTGAGACTGTGAAGAAGAGAAAATACACAGAAAAGAGAAAATCTAAACATGAACATTTTTAAGATAAACGTTTCTGCATTGATCAGGCCCCAAACATACACTATTTGAGATTAGGACTCAATTCATCATCTTAGTTTCTTTTTAAATGTACCCTACCATTACAATAGCTTGGTTAATAATAATGTTTAAAGGTGAATTACCGTTTCTTCTACTGTGGTGACGTTTGGTTCCAAATCTTGGACATCTTCTTTTTCTGAAGTATTATATTTTTTATTCACACTGTTTTCAAATTCTACCGCAAAGAAATTAATAAATAACAAAAGGAGAAAGGAAGATTAAGTTATTTTTACAAATAATAAATGTAAAATATACATAATCACATGTTTGATGTGATGTTATTGTTACAACCATGTCACCTGTATGGGGTTGTTGAGGTGGTGAAGTGGTACTGATTAGCTCTTCCATTTGTTTCCGCATTTCACTTACAACGACCTGAAGTCTGTAGTTTTGCTGCTTTAATGGAATAATTTCATGAGAAGCTAGAAGTCCAGTGTCTGGGACACACCCCTTAACAGAAACATTTATTCTATGAGCCCAATATATAATGCAATTAAATAACTGAAACAGTGTCAAAAAGTGAGCAGACTCTCACCTGTAAGGCCAAATCCCGCTCCTTTGTGACACACTGCAGTAACACTGTAAGCTCTTCAAGTTGCAACTTTGTCTCCACTAACTCAGCATTTACCTAAAATTAAAAAAAGAAAAAAAAAATGTATGCACAATTTTTACCAATTATTTAGAAGTTGAAACACAGATCTTCACCGTCTCATCTCTGAATCTCTGGTCTGTTTTTAATAGCATGAGTGTCGCATCATCACTGTTAAGTTATAATAACTGAATGTCCAATAGCTGCATTCAGCATTGAGTTGAAGAGTCCTCACCTTCTCTCTTGCTGCAGTCAGCTCTTGAATCAGACGCTCATGGTCCAGATAATGTTTACTTTGGATTTCCTCACATTTCTTCTGCCACTCCAATTCCATCTGCACCATTCTCTGCTCCAAGTGTTTCTCACGCTCTAAACTTGCCCTGAGCTCTTTTTTGTATCTGAAAACTCACAAGAGTGCAGTCTCACATCTACTGTTGCTCTGTACTTACAAAAGTTCACAAAGTGCCAGTATTATCACTGCCTGAAAGTCGTTAAGCATAAAAACTTCTGTTTCTTGTTCCAGGTCTTGGCTCACCTGTCTATGATGTCCTCTCTCTCTTGCAGCTGCTCCTGGTGTTGTGTCTTCATGGACAAAGCCTGAGTGGACTGTGTGGCCAAGTCTCTCTGCAGTTTGGATATGGGTTTGTGCACTTCCTTGAGCTGATCTTTGTGGTTCTTATCCGGAGACCTCTGAGCTCTGGATAAAGATGAAACACACTATTCGCTGATAATGATCCTGCAGCATACTGGGCTACTCTGTATGTGAGAAAATTAATCATACCTTTGGATATCCACATAGGTGCTGTTTTTCTGAATTCCAAGTAGTGCTTTTGTCTTTTGGTGAATGTCCTCAGAAGTTTCTCTCTGAACAAAGATATGTTAAAATCCCACAGATCACACAGGGTGTTTGTTTTATGATTCAGCTATGTATCATATTTACATGCATTGTTCTGAGTTGGACTTGCTGCTCCATCAACTCTGGGATGCTGTTATACCACAGAATTTTTTTTTTTTAAATCTTATGTAATCATGCCCGGTTAAAAACAACACCAGCTCTTTCTGCACCAGAATAAAAATGACTGACTGCTGGCCCCTTGTGGCTAAAAAGGCTATCGGTAATTACCCATGTTCAAAAAACTCTTCCAAACAGACAGAAGAATGAAAGATGACTGCAGAAACCTTTGGCTGTTGTGATCTTGAGATGTGAGGAGCTCATATTTATTCAGCTCTTGATCTCACTCTGCTAATCAAGTTATACCTGAAGTCTTCTGTAAGCTGTTGGAATTGTGCCCTGAAAATAAATACATCACAACTTATAAAAATGTAAAAATATAAACAGTTCATCCACAAGATCCACTTAAAAATATTCCACAGGTTACATCAGCTGCAGGGCACACACAACACCCCTGCCTGCCCCATGTACACTACTGCCATTTTGATTAACTGTAAGGGTCAAAGCCCAGTCATAAGGAGTTGGTTGTTAAGAGAGACCAGGGCTTCATCACACGTCAGGAGTCCCACTGGCATTTCCCCTCCAGTTCTCACCTCCGTACATGTGATATTAAACTGTGGAATTTCAGTTTTGACATATGCACTTGAATGTTTCAAAAGACTGATAACATATCCAGCAGCTTTTGACCACGCGCACGCTCCTTTCTGAGCGAGGAACAGATTTCGAAAGCTCCACAAACACATGCCCACAGTCAGTGACTTTTTTGTAATGTGTACATATAGTTCCACAGTTGCATTCTTGATAAAGCTAATAATCCAGTTTAGACCTAACCAAGATTTATCACCAAAAGAGCAGTATGGTGGTACCTCAGTGAAGAGTTGTGTTCCTAGGCTGTTCTGAGGCTCATTTCTAGGAGGTAGATCTCTGAAGCACAACTCTGACTTCTGAATGTTTCAGGCTGCATCTCCAACTTAAATACACACAAAAACTGCATTAATCACATTAACTTCAGTATGGAGTTGAGGGACAGTTTCATTTGGTATTCAGTGGTCAGAGAAAGATTCATTTCTTAAAGCATGAGAAAACTAGTAGCTGAGCAGCTTAAGACATTTGCTTTAAAAATACCCTTTGTTACAGGAATAACTCAAATCAAAGAAATTATACACTTAGGCTAAATGTTAAAAAGTAACGTCAACTCAAGATAGCTACTTTAGGCTAATGTTACATGACTGGGAAATCACTGCAGACGTTTTTATTGAAGGTGTCAACTTCTAATTAATATAATAGATTTATACTTACCAAAATATTTATTTTTTGCTACTTGTACTTAGAAAGAAAAAGGCAGTAAGTTATGTTTCATACACGCACACTTCTGGCGCATTTTCATGAACAGTTTGTTGTGGTTGTTAAGGCAACGGTACGTTCTTTAAAATCAGTCCCCTCTACCAACAGTACGTTGAATTGGTTCCGCGTTGCGAGAATCCCACTGCATAATCCACTGGGATTATGCAATGGGATACTGTTGGTAGAGGGGACTGGTGCAAAATTGCAAAATTATTCAACTAAGTATCGGTCTGTCAATCGGTTAAGGGAGAGTGAGAGAGACACGGGGGCGGGGCACACTTATTAAAACTCTGCTCTTCACGTGCCAGAGATGCTGGGGCTGCAGGACATCAGGTAAGACCATATGATAGTTTAGACATCTTTATTGGTTGCTTAAATTGTTTTGCATTTACTGTGATACAGAAGCTAGAAAAAAACTTTAAAGTTATGACAAATGTATTAGGTCTAATCCAGGGTTATAACTACAGTGAAGAGTAGAGTACATGTCATTTCATAATATAGTGTGTGTGATTCAGAGGTATTATTTGCAATGTGATCTTGCTGTTGCAGACCTCAGGAGCAGAATGGGTGGTGCGGTGGTGGACTTGGGGCCCCCGAGGGTCAAGGCTCCGGATGGCGGCTGGGGCTGGGCTGTGCTGATTGGATGCTTCATCATTACAGGCTTCTCGTACGCTTTCCCCAAAGCTGTCAGTGTGTTCTTCAAGGAGCTGATCCATGAGTTTGGAGTGGGTTACAGTGACATGGCTTGGATCTCTTCCATCCTGCTGGCGATGTTGTATGGCACAGGTACAGTCCTCTGCACTGTAAGACTGATATTAACACGTGCAGATATTGTAGAGGATTATTTTGATCTTAATAGGTGACAGTGATCAGTATGTGCATCAGCTTTTCCCAAATCACATAAAACAAGAGAGGTGGGCTTAAAGAAAAGGATTCTTCAATAAACTGCTCAGCTCACAAAACATTTTATTTTGAAGAGAGAAAAAACAAGTAACAAACCTATATTTTTGTTAGAAATAAACTGAATTGTAGGATGGCCGTAATTTGCTGAAGTGAGCACCATTGTGGGTTCAGGACAGTGATAACGAGCAATCTTATGAATTTTATAAACAACTTTAACAAATTATATGTACAGAAGTTTAAATCATTTTAGTCATTGATTCTTCATTATTGTAATTGTCTGTCAGACACGAAGGCTTTAGTGAAAGGAAATGTGACTGGAATTTGGGGCTCAGTCAGATTTTTGTCCAGGCCCCCTATGCAGTGTGCTGGTCAACAAATATGGCTGCCGGCCCGTGATGATGGTGGGTGGGCTCCTGGCTTCTTTGGGAATGATCTTGGCTTCATTCGCCACCAGTGTCATTCACATCTATTTGTGCACAGGGATGATAACAGGTAAAAAGAACACAAGCCACTTCTTTCTTAAAGGTTGTATGGAGGATTTTTTTTGTTTCAAATTGTCAATGATAGCATTATAGAGGTGCAGTAGCCTTGTAATTATGATGACCAAAAAAAGAGAATAAAAATTCATCAACTCTGGACGTGGTGGGGCTAAACATTTGCCAATAGATAACGACACTGCCTCGTTATCTGTTAGCTGACAGGCTGTCAATCAAACTCCCTACGTTTCTAGCGTAACTGACTTGCCTGCGCGCTGCCATTACGTGGTTTACGTACGCCTGTCACGCAGTCCACAGACGCAAGCCGCACATACGATGTTTACTCCACCAACGCAACAGTTCTTAGCGGCTTTTTTTGACCTATATCTTCCTCGCAGTTAGCACAAAGTTTGTTGCAATGGCGACAAGAATCCAGGAGCAGTTAGCCGCAAAAGAAAGTCCGTTTTTGAGGTCGCTGAAAGAAGAAGACAAGGGGAAAAGCAGCGAAGCCAAACTAAGGTGATTCTTGAAGATTCATTCCAGCGATGGCACAACTGAAGCAGACGAAGGGTCTAAAGACTGACGCATTGGTCGCCAAATTACTCCTGGACAGGTCACTTCTGCTTATTATGAAAATGTACTTTTTTTCACGCATGCGCAACATTTGAAAAAGGACAAACAGTCACTGGATTTCTCGTTCCTTGGAAAATCCTCTATACAACCTTTAAACACATTTGTGTAAGTCTTTAGCAAAGATGTTGCAACAAACTATTTCATAATTTGTGCCCAATGCATTTAATATTCGGATCTCTGCCATTGATCTTTTTCTGTTTTCCATACTTGCACCCTCAGGACTGGGTCTGGCTCTGAACTTCCAACCCTCTCTCATAATGCTCAACCTCTACTTTAGTGAAAAACGTCCTCTGGCAAATGGCCTAGCAGCGGCGGGCAGCCCAGTAGCCCTGTGCTGTCTATCTCCTTTGGGACAGTTCTTCCAGCACCAATATGGCTGGAGGGGGGGCTTTCTAATCCTGGGGGGACTGCTGCTCAACTGTTGTGCCTGTGGAGCCCTCATGAGGCCTCTACTGCCCCCAAAGAAAAAGATGGAGCTGGAGACAGAGAAGATCCAACCACAAAAAAAACTACTGGACTTCACCGTATTTAAAGACAGAGGATTCATCATCTACACTGTGGCAGCTTCCACCATGGTGCTGGGTCTGTTCGTGCCACCAGTCTTTGTGGTAAACTATGCTAAAAGTCTGAACTATGAGGACACCAAATCTGCTCTGCTGCTAACCATCCTTGGCCTGGTGGACATGTTTGCTCGACCCATCTGTGGGCTTGTAGCGGGGATGAAGTCCGTGCGACCACGCTGTGTGTACCTCTTCAGCTTCTCCATGATCTTCAATGGGTGCACTGACCTCATATGCTCTCAGGTAACATTCAAGTCATTCATGTCTCACAAATGTCATTGAAATTCCTCATTAGAATGGTAAAAGAGAACTATGAAAGTAGTAGTAGTAGATTTTTTACCTCATATTGATCAATCACAATTTTTGATTTGATGAGGTCTTATTAAACATAACATAAAGAAGACTAGTGCCATTTAACAAAAAAAATACAGATTTCTTCCTCCAAATTTTAAAGTCTGTTTTAAGCCACATGCTTTTACAGGCAGAGGATTAGCTTTTTAATTTAAAATGACCCAAGCATGCAATTAACAGTTTGATCATAAAATAATACAATTAAATATACCTGTATTTTTTTAGATAGTGGATAAATATTACTGTCTCTTTTCTTGTCTGTAGGCCAACACATACACTGGCCTGGTGCTGTTCTGTATCTTCTTTGGCATCTCCTATGGGATGGTGGGGGCTCTGCAGTTCGAGGTTCTCATGGCTCTGGTCGGGACAGAGAAGTTCTCCAGTGCCATTGGGCTGGTGTTGCTCATGGAGGCCATGGCGGTGCTGGTGGGACCACCTGGAGCAGGTAAGAACTGTATTGAGCCATAGGGTTTGGGGTGACCATCAGTAGCTCTTTGGTTATCCGGACATTTAGGTCCCTGTCCCTTTTCCCATACATGAATTATCAAAAGTGAAAACATGATAATATACTTCTTTGTCACTATAAAATTCAGACTTTTTTTTGAATGCCATTCCAATCTCTCTATGCATTAGTAAAAATCATAATTCTGGCCTTATTGCAGATACTATGATTATGATTGCCCCATTACATCCCTGCATGTCCTACCACCACATTCAACAACTTTTCTATAATTTTTGGTGGTCACCTTATAACAATCTTTACCCTGCATATAAGGCAAAAGACATAAAAGTTAATGATTGATTAAACACTGAATCATCTTTTTTTGCTACTTAACTCTGTCCATGTTGTCTTCATTATCTACTGTTCCTAGTCAATTCCATGCTTACTTTTCATATCCGTGTCTAAAACTGCCTAAAGTCGGTGTGCTTCTAATGGCCAATACATTTTCAAGAGGCACTCACCTCTCTCCTGATTACAGCTCATTATAAACACCTCGCTGCAGGGGTTTGGTTTCAAGTGTTTTTGTCTGTCCAACCAATCACACTGTTCCTTATGCCTCCAGACCCTGCCCCTTTACCACCTCACTCTCCTCTTTAGATCTCCAACCAGTGCCCAGTTTAGCAGCTCAACTTGAAATGTGACTGTGAATGGAGTTTAGGTGCTTAGCCCCACTTTAACAGATTTATGAGACTGGCAAGCATGGAAAAAGCGGGTAACTGAATGGTGGGGCAGATAGCCAGACATATACTGTAGGGGACATTGTAGAGCATTATAAAGTTTAGTCCTCTATGTATTGCAGGTCGTCTGTTGGATGCCACTCACCAGTACATGCACGCTTTTCTACTAGCTGGAGCTGAGGTCACACTCTCTGCCTTACTCCTGGCTCTGGGAAACTTTCTCTGCATCAAAACCAAACGCACAGCTCCTTCAGTGTCTACGGAGATGAGTGTAAAAACTATAAAGAAGGACACGCTACATTACGATGAGGTGTTGACAGAGGATGAGAACAGAGATCTGCAAGGTGGTGGGGAGATGGAGGAGACTGTTGATGACCAGGAGGAACTAGAGGCAACACCTGCTGTTCCTATCCACACAGACACTAATCAAACACAAGCATAGTTGTCATAGTAACACCTTTAGGTTTGAGTTAAGGGTAAATTCTGACAGGACAAATTGATCTTGAGCAAGATGCATAAATGTGAAGACCTTCCACTGTTATTTCCTATACACAGGATTGATGAGAAATTAACAATTTATAACAAAATATAATATTTTTTAGGTGGTGAAAGTACTCAAAATGATACTTATAAAAGGAACAATGTACTGGAGTTACATAATCAGAGTACAAATTATGAGTAACTGTATTCAGTTACAGTTACTGTTTCAGTGAGTGGTAATTGGATTACAGTTACTTTGTTGAAATAAATGAATTACACGGCAGTATTTTCCTGTTTTCACATTTTGGGGTATTCCCTTTTTTTTTTCTCTTCGGTATTTCCACTCATTACCGGACACTAAACTAGGTCTAAACCAGGTCTAAACCAGGACTAAAACCAGGTCTAAACCAGATCTAAAACCAGGTCTAAACCCAGGTCTAAAACCAGGTCTAAACCCAGGTCCAAACCAGTTCTAA